ATAAAAAAATTCTTTCTTTCTTTCGTCCGTGAAATCCGAAGGGCATGCAAGCCCCCCCCCCCCCCCCCCGCTATGGCACATGATCAATGTCAAAATGTTAGACTCATCAATGAGTATGACTGTGTCAGCGAAATTTTATTAAAAACGAAGTCGTTCATGAGCATGACTTGTTATATGTACAGTCCGTCAAAGCATTTTTGTCTAAACTGATCATTCGCCGCATGGTTATGGTAACCGTACTTCGACGTTGCCGTTTAAGAAGAACGAACATATAGATTTTCTTTCGTAAACTTGGTAATGAAGATAAAGTCACGAAAGGTAAAAGAAACATGACCCAATAAGTGAGAAAAAACGTTATCTGTTGAGCTTGAACGCCAATGTCAGCAGGTAAACCGCACAGATGTGCGACTGATAGAATCATAATGGGGAAATTCAATAGTAGATAAAGTGCAGAAATCGATAATAGTTGAATAATCATTTTTCGGTACTGTTTCCAATGAAACATTCGATGACGTCGATGTTTATGACGTATTACACGAATTAGCAGCGTCAAACTAAAAACTGCGACGATGATCGTTGTTAAACATCCGTGCACACCCATTTCCCATAAACCTAGCAGGGGATGGAAGAGATGGCATGGTGAAGCAGCACACACAGGTAACGTATAAGTGTAATTGTGTTGACATGGAGGAAAAAATATAACAAAAGTATAATAAATCGTTGAATATAATGAGAGCAGACATAGAGGAAGATAATGAACAAAGAATCGCTTATTTCGTGTTGAAATCCATCGATCGTGAAAGACGAGAATGTGTCGTTCAATAGATGTCCAACTAAGAATCAGCGCAGCTGTGTTATAGAACCCCAAATCGACCAACCACCATAGGAGACAACGAATGGGTAGTTTTGGTCGAACTGAACCTTGTAGAATGAAATCTAGGTACCATGGAATATCAGTTAATTGAAAGCAAAGTGCGATGATCAGTAAAAGTATAACAGTGTGATTATGAAGAGCATAACGCGAGTGTTTATTGAATAGTAAATGGTAAAGGACAAATAGTGAGCAGATGATTGATGGAATATCGAAGATTAACAAAAGCCAAAAGCGAAGCGAACGTGGCCAGGAAATTTCCGAGTTTTCGAAGGCAACGATATGAGTGTGATTCGTCATGTTAGTTTTACTCAGAAGAATATCTCACTATGCAAGGAAAAGACATCAACATCTTGTCAAACAAAGTAACATGAGAGAATAATAAACAACTTAATGACTAAACATCGCTATTCACCATGTCACGCATCTTATATTCTTATTCGTTATTCTTGCATGTCAGCGCCAATGTTGTTTCATTGAAAACTACATATTTTATTACATGTAAAAGACAATACGCCTATTGGAATACGAGTTATTTTTATTAGAGAGATTATTACGTGAAGGGCAATTCAGATGAACACTATATGTTTTGTACTGGCTGGATTCGAATGAACTTTTGCGTGTGAGATTTACCAAATAAACTACATGAAGATATTTATTCTGTTGTGTTTCAGACATTCACAATACAAAATAAGGTAATAACAACAACAATGAAAAGACAGTGATTAATTATGAACACAAAGAAAGAGAGAAAGAAAGGAAGAAGACTTCAATAATTACCAAAAATTTGGATCATCGATAATGCCAAGTTTATTTCCTAATCGTCGAAATTTCGCTCGAACTTCTTCTTGCATGAGATTAAAACACATGGCCATTAAAGATAAACCAAACAGAACGTAGAGAGCACAGATAACTAGTTTACCTTCGACCTGTGTGGATGTTATCGATTTACCTGGCACTAAATCGCCTAAACAAACAAGCGAGAATGTCAAACTTGCTTTTCCTAATGTCATTCAACGAACCTAAGCCAATTGTAGCTAATGTGACAAAACAAAAATAAGCACCATCTAAAAATCTCCATCCTTCCCATTCACTAAAGAGTATAGCTCCGAGAATTAAATATGACGATAGTAGGGAGAGTGTAACACTAATTGGTATAGTAGTTTTCCGATAATCCATATTGAAATTATCAACGAATTCCACCACATTGGTCGATGGTGGCGTTTCAGTAGCATTCGTGGATAAACCTGGAAGAGATTCGGATGTTGCTGACGTTGAAGGTGGATTGTGTGATAATTCCACGGATTGTAAAGCTCGAAGATTACGACGTTTTTTCACCATATTACAATACGAACAACAAACATGGCAATAAATAAAGCGAAATGCATCCGCCATGGTCGAACCGATATTAGCTAAGCATAATAACATGAGAGGAATACCGAATATTGCATAGATCATAGTCACGATTTTGCCATAAGACGTTTTACTAAAAATAAAAAAAGAAAATCTGTTATTTGATTGAGTGATCTACATATGTGGAGAATCGATGGAAATATTGTTGTAACCAAGAGTATTTTGCTCAAGGTTGGTGTAATATAAACAATGATCACGAAGGCCGATGGTTGAGATTTTCTAGATATTGTTTGCTCTTCAACGATCAAGGTACAAGTCTTGTTGTTTATTTATAAACGACTTATACTGGTCTATTCGGTTACGATCGAATACTTCGCTTTTGAATATCATTTTCATAACACATGCTGGTCTTGAATGAAATCATAAACTATCTTTTGATATTGACAAGAATGGTTATCTATCCTTATGATTAAGAAACTATCAAGACTCATCGTCGACACTGTACAGTCTAAAATTTCTTCTGCTTACCAAGTGATATGTCCATAGCCTAGAATAATAGACAAGATAAAGAGTATTTTTCGAAATGAACAATTTCGAATAGATACTGACCGATAGTTGTGATGACAGTAATAGCATAAAGAATGGCACCGGCAAAATTCCACTGTTTGGCACTATTTCCATCGTCATCCACTCGTTCGCCTTGATATCCTCGTTTCGTTTGTCGAACAAGTTCTTGTTGATAGTCTTCTAGAATTCGTCGTGCCATCGATGTCCAATTAGCTTGATAGAGAACTTTCGCATGTTCGCTGGTATTGAACAGTTTCTCGACAGTAATGTGTAAACGTCGTTGAACAACTTCGGTCACTGCACCTTCATGTGGACCTTCGAGAAATTGAAAGACGACTCCTCCGCCAAATGCGTATGCCACAACAAGTAAACAAAGGCCAACACGTGAGAAGATAAAGGTTGTCAAAGATTTACAACAGTTTTTACACTTTGCCATACGTTGAGATTGAAGACTAGCGTTCGTTGGTTGTTGGTCCGCACCTGGCTTATGCTGCTGATGAAGCAGCTCATTTCGTCGTTGATTCCTGACCAAATGAAAATAGAACATGACGAATAAGTTCACTGTGCAACAATCGATTTAGTTCTCGAAAGGATAATAATGACGCGTCGATATGTTTCTCCTCAGTAGAAATGCATCTCTTGCTCACAAATCACTCGATGAAATCTATTTTCACATACGTATGTCATTAATCTTCTCATCGGCATTAGATGAGATGTTTTACATATGTTTTAGAACAATAAATGATCTGATTTTCTTTATCAATCTTTCTTTTTTTTTACCAAACATACTCACAAGATATATTCATTGGTTATCGGAATCCAAACATTATCATAGATACCAGGAATATGGAAGGTAAGATCGTTTTCGTCCTCAAAAACCAACGATTGATAACAATGTTCAAGTTTGTCCTCAGCAAACTGAACATGCTTTCCATTCTTTTTACTTTTGATTTCGGACATCGTCAACGGAGAAAATGCGAGGAAAGCAAACATTCGCGAGGCGTTGTTTCCTAATCAAAACCTAATTTTCTATTTGTATTGATTATTCAATACATATTAGCACATAAGTCTTTGTTTGTTTCCTCGGGTTATGAATTTCACGTAATCGGTCAGAGAAGGAAAAGAGATAAACGACCTTAAATAGATCATCAACATCAATTTCTAATGTCGATGATCAGTACTAAATAATGAAAAACATCTACCTTGGATGATTCCGTCGGTTTCATTTCGTCGATTTCAATAGGGAATTCTACTTATTCGAATACACTTGTTTCTGATCAGAAAATAATGACATAGGCATTTATCTATCACTAAGTATATATACATATATTAGATATTCTGTTTCTTTTTTCCTTTTTTTGTTGCTTGGGCATTCAATGAGCCGTTTCTTGTAATGCCATTCCACTTGATCGACTGGCATGCATAGGAAATCATTGGTTTACTCAAGAGAATGTACAGCGATTAATAAGCCTCATCAGAAAGAGACAGATAGGCAAGATCAGCTTAAAATTTCTCCTGAGACATAAGAAAATGCTTGAATAAATATAGCAATTCGCTCAGATCAAGAATGTGATTAACTGCGTAGAGAAACAAATGAAAAACACTCGTTTTTTATTAACATATTCCTTTCGAATTACAACAGCTCGGATATGGACAATCGAATCGGCTAAATGTATAGTTTCAGCGTCAATTTGTCGTTTTGTTTTCACATGAGAGAAGAGAACTGATTGTTAGGAAAGATAAGTCGACATTCGAAAAGAATGTCATATACAATTTGTTTTCTCAACTAATCGATATATACACTTCAGTACCACTCTTTTTCAAAGACAATATAAACTACTACTAATGTCACTGTCTTCTAGCATAGATCTGATAAGAAATAAATTCTTCGATGTCGAATTAATGAGAGAGATTTTTCCCCTCGAAATGTTACATTTTCCTTTACTTGCAAGAGCGTTGGAATGTAATCAGAAATTATCGCATAATCGAAAAACATTGCGAACTACAGTGACCTTTTGGAGCTGACGACATCCTTGACTTAATTCGAGAAATGTTTCTGACTCTATATGAAATTTCTTTTTTTGCGCCAATCGAAAGAGAAATATTCGGTGCACATTCGACTTACCTCACTGTGACACGCTGACGAACGACGTCAACTATCTCGTTAAAACTTCGATAATAAAGAAGAGACATCTGATAAGAATATATAGGATATAATTAACTAATCAAATCTTGAGAAAATACACCAAGCAAAGTATACAATCAGGTTGTTCGTCGAAATTCCAACCAGATTTATTCGTTTTGTTTCAACAAAAAATCTGTTTCCAATTGAATGTCTTCGGGGAAGAAACTCTTATTTATAACATAAGTGTTTGCTGATCTAATACACAGACTCTGAACTATCATAGATATATCCATATGTGTGTCTGTATAAGTTGGCTATGATATCCTACGGTAGACCAGAACAATAGGGAAAAAGACAGAGAGACATGAAAGAAGAGAGAGCTCGACATTTAGGCAACTGTTGAGTACAAGCTTGAGTATTATTATCGATATATAGAAGTGTAGCATGTAGACAGTTAGCAATTAACAAATGTGATTTATGCGCTGCTGAAAATGCGCTGATCACCAGGAGTAAGAAAAACAATTTTTACCTTGTAGATTGATGTAACAAGTTAGAAAGACCATACATTAGTCGACAAGATGATCGATAATATGACTTGAACTTATGATTAAACACTTGATTATGATCGGAGATGCAAAACTGTATTCGTATTCATTCGGGAAAAGAGAAACTTCCTCGGACAAGTAATTCAATTTAACTGTTAGTTTCTTTTTTCGAGCAGGAGAGAGAGAGAGCGACTCATTATTTCTCATCGGTTCCTTTTTCATTTTCGTATCATTTTACTTAAATAAACAAACAGCAAGTATATGAGTTTGTTTTCATTTGCATTGAAAGTTGATTAAACAGACTTCCAGATTCTAACTGAGATAGCAAGATCCAAGAGATCTTTCACAGACACAAAAAAGAAATGGATGCAGATGAAACCAGAGCAAGAATGTTCTCTTTATTAGTATTAGCACACGTTAGAGATAATTATCTTTGTGTCCTTCGAAGCTGTCATTGTTGAATATTAGTATTATTGATGAAGTACATCATGCTTTTTTTATGTCCATAAGTTTCGATTCCGACTTTCATATAGAGAGGGAGCGAAGGTGTGTGAGTATGACGTGAGGTCATAGATGACAAGAATTTCTTTACTGACAATTATCAATATTAGAGTACTGTTGGATCATGTGTTGCTTGCTTTCCTGTAACAAGTTATTCTCGTTAGAAATTATGAGATAGAGTTCGGTCGTCGAGAATCTTTGAAAGATGCCGACTTATTTCCTGTTGTAGATTGTGAAAACAATAAGTTTGTTAGAAAAATGGTCTTAGTTATTCTTTTGATGGAATAGGAAAAACAATGAGTGACATATTTTCTATAGTGAATCTGATTGGTATTTGCGTATGATCCAATAAAAATTCATTATGACTTTCTTTCCTCATTTGTAGGTAATATGTAATTTAATATATACATTCCTGTGAATTTCCAGCCGAAATTATCATCATGACGTTCCGTTTGGACCGTGAAAAGTCGAAGATGCAAGAGAAATATCAAATCATACTTGCACATATGCTCAGAGAGGAAGATAACAAGTACTGTGTTGACTGTGACACAAAAAGTAATATACCTACAGACTTTCGTAATTTTAATGTCCTACGGTTCGTTTAAGGTCCAAGATGGGCTAGTTGGAATATTGGTGTGTTTATTTGTATTCGATGCGCGGGATTTCATCGGAATTTAGGCGTGCATATATCAAAAGTAAAATCAGTCAATTTAGACTCGTGGACCAGTGAACAGATCGCAGTATGAAAAATTTCTCGTGAAGAAAATGTAATACTTCTTTTTTCTATTATAGTCAATGCAAGTCATGGGTAATAGCCGGGCGCGTGCTGTTTATGAAGCGAATTTACCCGATGGATTTCGTCGACCACAATCGGATTCGTGTGTGATGAATACTTGATGAAGAGAAGTGAATATCTAACTTTTTGTTTTAAGAACATTGGAAACGTTCATACGATCGAAATACGAAAAACGTAAATGGATTGCCAAAGAATGGATTCCACCGGAAATCACGGTGCCTAGTTGTGCTGTTGTCGTTTTGTGATTGTTGTCAATCGACTTTGTATTTGGTCTGTTTAATTTGGGAACATTTTCTAGTTGATCGAATCTGAAACAAGCCAACAAAGAGTCGAAACAATCTCGGAACCGGCACCGGTTAGTCAATTTGACATATGAAGCTACTTGAAAGATTACTATTTTAGAAAGAGAAATTGACAAGAAAAACTGAACCATGTACGATGCCAAATGTTAGCAATAATCCTATACGGCAGTCCGAACAGTCGTCAACGCCTTCTTTCGCGCAAACTCCAACTATCGAAAACAAAACTGAAGATTTGTTAAATTTAGGTGTGAACGAATAATATTTCAATATCAGGCTATTCTCTATGGATTCTTCCTTCATTCAGATGAACCATCGGTGATTTCGGTAAGCAGTACAATTGCATCTGGTTTATTAGATCCACTACAACAACTATTCATCTCAACCTCCGAAAATAAGAACGAAGTTCACGCACAGAACCATAGTATTGATAAAGATTTAGAAAGCGCATTTGCTCCTTTGAATGATTGCGTTGTAACAAATGATGGAGTAATGAGTAATGAGAAAATCATGGCACTCTTCAACAAATCTCAGTCAACTATTATAATACCACCATCAACGAATCAACATCCAACTGGTATGATACTCTTCCATACATTTGTAGCTGAAGGCTGAGAGAGAGAGAATAAATTATTCCGCTATACGCTGTTTTTACTTTAGTTTCATCTTCAATTTTTGCTTACCCAACACCCACACAACATTCCCAATTCATTCCACCGCAAAAATCCGTTTCTATTACTGCCAATCTGTACCAACACGCTGGTCATATCGGACCACCGGTTCATGTAAATTGATGATTTGTATCTTCACACCACGATAATTTCTATATTCTCTTTCAGCAACGATTTCCGCTACATATAGACATTAATCACCAGAATCCATCGAGTATGCATGCATCAACATTCGCAAGCAATCAAGTAACTCCGATTTTTTCTGCAGATGCAGCATTCTCATTTTTCTCGATTCTAGTTGATGGCATTCACGAATACAAAAGCAAACTCATCAATGTCCAACATACCGATACGTCCTATAACAGAATACATGTCTGCAGCTTCGGATTCTCTCTGGCAATAAAACTGTTTTTGGAATCATATAGAAAATTGTTAGCTGTTGTTGTTATTGTTGTATCTCAATGTTGTTTTCGTAATGCAAACAAAGACTGTCAAGTCATGATTTTGTTTCCTATCTGGTAGCATTAGAATATGAATGTACCATTGGCCAGTTGATGAATAAAAGTCACATAAGGCAAAACAAGTCGTTCGAAGCACCTTTAGGCATGTAGATGGCTCATAAGTGATAATTGGATTTACACGTATCTTCGGCTATGTTAATTGTAAACTCCTGTTGTTCTAGATAATGTTTCGTAAAGATTTTAAATCGAAAGGAAATACTCAAGTAAAATCATCAGATCGAAAAAAGCTTCGACAACAATTTCAGCAAACTTTCCCGTCAATTCCTGATGATATTCTTTCACTGATTATTCCGTTGGGCAAAGGTGAAGATTTTACATCGTGTAAACTACTATTGAGCACTGGCGATGACATTTTTGTCTATTCGACAAATAAGACACCTTGGTTCTTTGTAGTCGAAGACATTGAAAATAAAAAAGAACGCATTCTTCCTACTGTTTACCTCCTATGGAAATATCCGGATTTGTTATCATTAAAATTCCATACACACAAACATGTTTTTAGTAAATTAATGAACGGTGCTGATCTTATGTTGCCCGGATTGATTTTACCACCTGGTGGTATAACATTATACACATTTCGACACATTAAACGAGATGATCTATGTGCGATTTGTTTGGACGATAATCGATATCCGATCGGTATTGGCCAAACAACAATGGATGGAGAAGACATGTACATGAGTGGTATGAAAGGACGTGGTATTGCGCTGATACATCTCTATCAAGATGCTCTATGGAACTTTGGACCACGTAGTGAGGTGCCTTATGAAAAGGAATCGAGAATCCTGTTCGTAACTGATCAAGAAGCAGTGGAGACGATTACAGACGAACAAACAGCAGCAGCTGCTGCTACTACTACAACCATTGCTGAAGCATCTGCTGACATTGGTGCTTTGAATATAAACGACGAAGCCACAACAGGTTTGCTGATAACAACGCTTTGTCCGACAGTATAAATAACAAATTTTTTTAAATATATTTTAGCATCAATACCCGAAGAATGTTGTGATCATCCGGAATCTATGGATGAAATCCTTGATGCCATTTTCTTTTACTTATGTCAACGTAAGGCGAAATCCTACGAATTACCTCTCTTAGCCTCACATTTCTACACTGTCATGCAAGATTGTGTTCCCGGCTTAACACTTGATTTAAAATTAAGCTCGCACAAGAAGTTCGGCAAGTTTCTTCAACATCAACAACAGATTCATAATCTAATATCGCTCGAAGAAACTAAACCCGGTGTACTTGCAATCATATCATTTAATCTAACTAAAAATGAACAATTAGATCATTTTCGTACACCTGCATGGCTAAAAGCATATCTAGCGAAAGCCTCCAATGCTACTGCAGCAGCAACGGAAGCCGAACATCCGATTGTTAAATATACATTTCCAACAGTCACTGAGTTATGGAAAAGCAATTCTCGTGTTAATGAATTGTTAGGCTGTTCGACATCAACACATTATCTTCGATCTGATGAGATTCGTCAAGCTGCTCGATCATACGTCATACGAAATAGTCTAAATGAAGACAAACAAGTCAAATTAGATGCTGTTCTTGCTCGAATTTTCAAAAAACTCGATCCGTCAACTAAACTAATCGGATGGAATGAATTGAATACAGCTGTTTTCGACGCCATGACACCTTGTACGGAATTATTATTCAGTCATCTCGAACAGCCGATACGTATGAATGGCCATATTCAACCGATTGAACTCGAATGTATCGATCGAAATCGTAAACGGCAAACTTTTATTCGTCATTTGGATGTTTATCAAATAGATTTGAATGAGTTATGCAAACGAATTAGACAAGGTGCATCTGTTAGTGCTGTGATCAACGAAGCAGATGAAAGTAAACGCACGGGCCGTGTGGTGATGGCACAAGGCAATCAAATCTCCTTTGTAACTCGTTTATTAAAAGATGATTTCGGTATACCGAGTAAATATATCAAAGAAATCTGAATCATACTGACGACAGATTTTTTTTAAAATAAACAACTCAGTTAGACAAATGTCTTACAACAAAATCGTTTGACAGTTATATTGATTGATACGAAAACACATACGGTATTCATCTTCGACATACAGATTTCATCAGTTGCTCGTTTATTGCAGTGCTCGTCGTGAGATGTGTGTCGACCCACAAGTGCTATTAATACAGCTTCGCTTAATCCTTTTGAGAAAACTTTCGAAATAGCGTCCACTTTGTCCTGAAGAGAGATTATTGATCTAGTTTAAAGTGACGACGATGTTTGTCGAGAAAAAACATGTACGGTATTTTTTTCTTTTTTCGATGTACCTAAAAATGGCGAATGTTTGTAAAATAAGACAGAAGACAAGACAAGCTAGAATGCAAAAGAGAGAGAGAGAGAGAGAGAGAGAGAAAGAGATTTTTTCGCCAAGTAAGAACAATTACAGACAATAATAACAACACCGAGAACAACAGTACACAGTCGATCGGAAACTCACAGGATATGGATTGAAGAGAGGTCAAACGAAAAAAAGATAACACAGATCTATACATGATGAAGAAGAAGAGAGAGAGAGAGAGAGAGAAACGATATTGCTGCAAAAACGAAAACCGCACAGCTATAAATAGAAGTCAAGAAAAAACAAGTCGAAAGAAAGTAATGGCAACGCATCCCTAGGCGTTCGAAAAAATTTGTTTTGTTATAAAAAAAAGCTTGGTTTATATTATGATTTTTGTTCCCATCATTGAACATTTTCCTTTTAGAATTCTTCAAATTCTTTTCCAAATTTCTCCGTCGTGGCGATACGAACTAAACAATCGAAAGTCAATTGAAATCGATCTCGAAAAGAAAAAGAAGTTTCTCTTACGTGGTTCTTCTTCATATTCATCGAAGTTACTCGCATCACCTATATTAAACAATATGAAAAAATCTGTTGTAAACTTTCAAGTTAACTAACCGGGTCCTTTCGTTTTCGGTATGAATGGAGCTTCTACTTTTCGTTGATAAACGGCAATCCAGTCCGTCGTCGAGAACCATTTGTGAGTTTTGATATCGTCAACACCATTTTTCAAGTTCCCATAACGCTTGGTCAAGTCAACTTGGAGGAGATTACGTAGCAAATCTTTCAAATCACTACTGAAATGGGATGGAAATCGCACCTAGATAAGCATTCGATTTCAATGGGTGTATTCGAGCAAAAAACCACTCTTACTTTTCCTGATACAATTTTCTCATAAATTTGAATAGGTTGATCAGCAAAGAACGGAGGATAACCCTAGGAAAGAATCTCAACCGTTGATTTTCTTTTTCAGATGTTATATCGTTGACATACCGCTGACATTTCATAAACTAATACACCCAAAGCCCACCAATCGACGGCTTTATTATATCCTTTTGATAGAATGATCTCCGGTGCTAAATATTCTATAGAACGCAAACAAAACCGAATAATTCTTTTCACTCAATTCCAGTTCGATAGTACCTGGTGTACCACACAACGTCCACGTTCGACCTAGAAGAATAAAATCAATGTAAACGTTCCTGTCAACGACTATGTTCGGAATAATTCTGTTGACATATGCGGAATGTTGTTTAATTGCACTAATCGAGTCTTACTGACCTTTGCTGATTCGAATCAGATTTCACGATAAATCGTTAGTGACGTACTTTTCCTATGCTACGCTCTTGCTAATGATAACCTTTCTCAAAGATATTCAATCAATCGGATCTTTTTATATTCGATAAGATTTGTTTCGCAAAGAGAAACACTAAACAAGGTTGGATTGGTCTGGTCGAAGTGAAAGTTACTAATAAAATAACAGATCGGTTAACTATTCTCTCGTTAATTTATCCTTGATGAGTATAATCACTATGTTAATGAAAAGACACGATTCGTACCTTTAATCTTTTTGGCAAAACCGAAATCAGTTACTTTCAAGTAACCTTCAGCATCGATTAATAAATTTTCAGGCTAGAATAAAATGAATAGTTGCATAGAACAAAGTCATTTATTATCTTCTAACTTTAAGATCTCGATAGAGAATGTCCAAATAGTGCAGATATTCGAATGTAAGAACGATTTGAGCAGCATAAAATCGCGCATGTTGTTCACTAAACAATGCCAATTGTCAACAGACAAATGGTTGACTGAAATTTCCTACCTAAATCGACCGACTTTACGTAAATGACTAAACATTTCACCACCGGGAACAAATTCCAAGACCATGTATAAATAGGAATTATCCTATGAAGACAAAAGCGGACAATTAAGATTTCTGTGAGAGAAAACCAATCTACTTTGAAATGAAAGTCCAAATTGACGAGAAAGGGAAAGGAAATAGCTTGAAGAATACGTTTTTCATTGAGTGTATGTTCGATTTGTTTCAATTTAACAACCTAAAACATGATTGATTTCAATGAAAATCAGTTCTGCTCGTTCTTTCTGACAATCATCTCCTACTTTTTGTTTGTCGAGAATCTTCATTGCATAGAAACCTCCATTGCCGGTATGTTTAACAAGCATAACACGTCCAAATGAACCTAAAAGAACGCAAAGATGAAAGATTATTTTGCGATCTCTATTATTCTGAGACTTACCTGTTCCAAGGGTTCGTACGCGTTCAAATTCTTCGGGTTTAGCCGTATTCTACAACAAATACGATTACTATTCATGGAAAAAAAACTCGTAGATGTTCTAATTTTAGTTCCCAGTTCTCTCCTGACTAATTGTTGGTTACAAAAAGAAAGCTTCACGATTTTCAGCTAGAAAAGTTGTTTCTATTTTGTTCCATCGTCATTCGAAAAGCATTCAGGATGTGAATATTCCGATGGCGTATATCATGTGACATTTACTAGGAAATCTGTTGTTATATTAACAAGTAGGAGAGATATTTTTACATTGAGCCGAGCTATTTTCGCTGGAGATATAAAACACGAGATTTGACTGGTGGGAAAGACCTGGAAAGTCGTCATTCGAAGGAAAAAAGTGCAAAACTCACTTGTTTTGACATTTTAAGAATTATTCAAATTCATTTAGGAAAATGATGAACTGTGTTTAATAGGAAAAGTAGACTAGCAGATAGTAGAAAAGGATGTTGAAGATGTGCAACAAAGAAAAGAAAAACTCAGCTCGATGTTTCTTTCCTCCGTTTTTTTTCCTTTTTCTTCTCCATATTCTAATTGCTAACTCGACATCAAAACGTCGTCGATAGGATAGATGTTATTCTATGGAAGTATCTTACCTGACTTGGTTTATCGTATTTCGATGCGAATTCATCTTTTGCTTTGGCCAAAAAAGCTTTTACTAAAATGAAAAGAGCAATTTGTCAGATTTCAAAACAGCACACATGTCGTTGCTTTCACATACAACTCGAACCGTCTGAAGGAATAATAGTGGTGGCAGCAGCAGCACACATTTCTTTTTTTATCAAAAGATGCTCTGCGCGTACATACACTTGCTTCTTCCTAGATGAAGTTTCAACTGGTTTATATAGGATGCATTCGCGTTCTCTCTCGCGCTCTCTCTCCCGCTCTCTGAGAAGTATAATTAGAAAAAAACCTCCAGCGTAGGTCGAAAAAAAGAAAAAGAACGTTTTACTAAGTATGTGTGTAAAAAAAAATAACATCTTGATCATTACCATTGTACGAAATGTTTGTAAATTTCAATAGAATACATAGTTCTTTTTCTTTTCGCTGTCTATATTTAAGTCTTGAATTATTTTCTATCCAGCTGCTATTTATAGGTCAAATGACCTTGTCGATGCAGGCACAGAATCCATGCATTGTATTATTGAACAATTAGATGTTTTTTTTGTTTTGAGACCAAAATAGATGTTATGAAATTTTTTTTACACGAGAATTTGGATTGATGGAATGAAGAGGGTTGTATAAAATTTTGTTCGTTTCTCTTTCTCCAAACATGTCAATTTCCAATAAGGGATTTACCGTGTGTACATGTTCTATTTTCTTTCTTTTTCTCTTAACAGTACGCTGGAAGCCTTGAGAGATGCATTGGCAAAACAGGAATAACAATATTGACGAGAAAATCAGAGCATAAAAAACAAATCGATACATATGACGTCGTGATAGGAGTTGAATCATCCATAAGTAGTTGATTCTCCATCTCAGCGTCTTTGCTGTATTGAACAAGAAAAAGAACTCGAGAAAAAGAAAAAGCAAAAGCTTGTTTAGATGCGTCAACACTCGCTCCTAATAGAAAATCTCTCGGCACACACACGCGGGTACGGCATGACACATTCATAATCGATTTTTTGTGCATACACGACACCTTTCTATTGAATTTTGCTCGTTCTGCTCAGATGAAAAGATGAAATGACTATGCTCGTAAATGCGAATACAAGTATTCTAACATGTTTATGATGATTTCCGATTGATGGCTATTTTTAATCTTTCTTTTTCATCAAAAAATTCTTTTTTTTTCTCTCTCCACTTCAATGTGTGTTTGTGTACGATGAAGAAAAGGAGAAAAACAGAAATCGAAGATATATAAATGTCAAATACATAAACAAAATAACATGCTTGATCTATACGTAATACATAACTATTTTTGTATTGATGTCGAAAAATAAACGAAAGAAACTTGCAAATACCTCTTTCAGCCGATTGAGCATAGGCAGCAGCAGCCTGAGGAGATGTTGACGACGATGACGAACTGGGATGATGATGTGCTTCGCTCATTGTTGAACTTTTACCGTCAACGGACGTACTACTCTTAAGTGACGATCCATCCTTATCTTTTTTGGATTTGTCACTTAATTTCGATGATATACGGTCTCGAAGCGCCTGCATAACAGACAAAAGACTGCTGTCTATTCGAACGATGGAGTCGTAATACTAATGGTACGATGCTTGCTTAATGTACACTACACTCTATCTTTCGGTTCTGTACTGTAAGAGTAGCAATGTAGGTGGATTGTTGATGTTGTTGTTGTTTTTCCTCGTGTCGTCAATATTGTTCGCGATGTTGGTATAGTGTAGACGCACGGTTGGTAATCAGTCAAATGAAGATACACGCACGGAGACTGAGAGAGAGAGAGATAGTCTATTGGTTTCTTTTTGATTTCTTGTGTATGAGCGTGGCGCGGCGACGCGAAAGATATTTATCGTAATATCTTTCCGACGTAACGAACGACGAGAACGAGAAAAGAACGAGTGTGCAAATGCGCAAGAAAAGCAGAGAAGAAGTAGAGGGGGAGAGAGAGACAGAGGGAGAACAAGCAAGTCATCGAAAAGAAACGAGCATGTACGAAAGGGAGTATAGAAAAAGAGTTTAAATTTAGAGATTTGTTAGCACAATTAATCAACTATAATCGTCAGCATGCCGCTCGAAGGATGAGTACTAAGGATCCGGCCTTGTTTACTCATCGATTTATGCGATGACGTGAATAAATCTCAAGTATTTACTTCACATTTTCCTTTCTCGTCTTTTTTGCTCTTTACGAGCACTTTGTTTTTTTTCTACTGTAGTGCAAAAAAGTTTGTTGACACTGCTTCTTTCTCTTTTCTCATTTGCTCTTGTATTTACAGGTACTATTTAAATAAAGCACATAATAAGCATGTTTTAATAGTTTTCCTCCTTTTAGTCATATTTTTCTCCACGGGAAATACGTTTTTAATGAAAGAATTGTGTTGATTTCGATACCGAAGATGATTCATACAAGGGAGAATTAGTTTGACCTTGCCCAGAGATGAATCAAAATGAGCACAGATAATATACTAATGCTCGGTGAAGCGTTACAATACATCGATCTGCGCACGTCACTGTATTTCGATTAACTACAAGACAGATGACCGGTTCATCTTCTTAGCCGCTCATCGCTCGAGGGAGTTCATCGTCTAGTACATGCGTTTAAAAGGCCATCGAAAAGTACATGTCCTAATCGATCCTTTTTGATCAATAGATGGCATTATATTTATGTATGTTATCGCGAAATATTCATTAAGTTTCATGTCATTTCGAGGAGAAAATAAAGAAAAGCAATTTCCTTCGGTATAGAATCTCCTACAATTGATGGTATTATATTCATGTGACAGTCGATGATGGAAAGAATAAACGACACGAAGAAGTTGCATGAAAAAAAAAGAGAAACGTTAAAACACTTCGACATTTAGCATTTATCATTATTATCATCAATGAAGAAAAGAAATCTGTGAATGTGCACGGAGTTTTTCGTTGGATTTCTCGGTTCTTTGTCTAGAAGACATTGATTTATTAGATGACGCATCGTATTTCTTTTACGCTTTTCAAATTTAATGTACTACGACATTTCTTTTCCTGTTACTCTATTACATCGTCGTTTTTGTGCATGTCATAATGCAAAGATTGTATTATATTCGTATTACTCAAGAGAAAAAAAATAACAACATTCCCTTTTTCTAATTTATATTCATCAAAGAAGTTCTCATGAAGAGGAGTCTATATTTAATTCACGCAGAAGTAACCTTTCTTACATGCTTGAACGATTGATAAACTAAGAAATATCATTATGTGAAGAGAAAATCAAAATAGCTGCTAACTCGTTGCCCACTTTGATAGCAGTTGTTGAATAACATATCGAAGAGTGTTGGAGGAAAAGAAGAAAAAAAAAGATAATTGATATGTTGCTGCGTTTATTTGCCTGTGTTTACAGATTTCCACAGGCAAGTGTCGAACTTGAACAATGAGGATGTCAGGTGAGGTGAGCATCGTGGCGGAAATCGGTCCTATGAAATCTTCTTGCTAATGTTCACGCATGGATTTGACATGATTTTATGTTTCATTTGACCGAATTTGTTGATTTGCTTATCTTGAAGCGGGGCTAATAAGTTTGCTTTATCACTGATAAATCAAAACTATATTTAGATTCGTTCGAAGAAATATCGCGAACCTAATTAGATTTTGTCTCGTCTAAGCTTACAAACTAAATTACAACTACATCTATTTTATCTAACAACATAAGGAAAAACATCTTTTTAGTCAAGAATACTTACGATAATCAACTGAGTAGTGACTCGATGATGCTCCAGAACCACTATGGTCATCGGAACCAGTTGCATTCTCATCGGTTCCACTCGCAGCTGCATCTTTGTTTTTCTTATATTTACGTGATGATCGAAAACGTTCCTTGAATGATGGCATTTTATACTGATGATAATGTGAACATACGAGAGAGAGTATTCTCTTTCCACTGACAATGTTAGTAACTTCTTTATATATATATATATATTTTTCCTTCGTTTCCCTCCTTCGACTTTTTTTCCTTTTCTTCGGTTCTCAAGAAGAGCTGAACAACATACTAAAGTGAGCGTCACAATATATTACTTCTTCCACAGTGTTTTTCTATTATTTAGACTTTTTTCTTGCCTTTTGCTCTCTTTTCTTGAGAGCGTCATGCGCATGCATAAACACACACACACGCCCGTGTTGGTTTATATATCTGAACCCAAGTGGTATACTGTGAAAGTCATTTCTTCGTCGACTCGTATCCGTTGATGTGAAATGAAAAGTGTCACACGAATTTCGCGCATGAAATAATCATATTGAACTGACTCGAGGATCTATGTTGAATGAAAACCGTCACAATGAATGAGAAATTTAATCTATCGGGAACCGGTTCGACGTTCGGGTATTGCATTGTCAAGTTTTCGTTTGCAAACAATAGGGAGACGCAAAACCACGAGAGGATTTCTTATTGATCATTCGTTTTTAATGACAAATAACCATGAAATTGCTGCATTTGTTTTCGCACCAACCACATCTACTTTTGTCTGAAAAGTTTCTCAAACGCAACACGTGATGAATGTTGTCGCGAGGAAAAATAGTTGTTTGTCACAAGGATGTGGGTAAGAATGCGATGATTACACGCGGAATAATGAAATCAATTGAAAGAAAATTGAGCATTGATGAGATCTGCTAATAATTCAGTAATGCTCATCTATCCGTCTTCGATATAGAATAGAAAACAGGGATCAAGTTTGATGAAAAGAAGCTGCAGCGTGTGCTGAGATAATATGAAGAAGACTCATGAATATATTTGAGCATTTTTGACAAAAAAAAAGAAATGCACAGAACGGATGAAAGAATACGGAATGACCCAATGGAATTCGATTTGTTCGATATCAAGTTTAACGATTAATCAAAGCAAAACACGATAAGCCGCAATGACGCACGAGGGTACCAGCGGGCTATTTCGATAAGTCTGAACATCACACTCTCTTGTGTCTGATTTTTTTGAAACGACGTCTAGCAGAGACATTGAACATCATCGGCGTTTCCGTTAAAATACCCTCGAAAACTTGGAAAAGACTAATTACAAACAACAAAGAAACAACAGGTTTCCAAAGTTATTGAAATGTGAGTAATAGATTAGATAGATTTTTCTCAGATGACAAGAGATAAAAGTGATCCTTACAAGTCCGATGAAATTTATTTTTAGACAAACTGAAAAGAAAAATGAGAGATTCGAGACAAAAACATACACTATTCAACTTCTGCTATCAACTCAGGGAACGATATCTTAGGTAGGATTTCCATGTAATCAAATCAGATGAAAATAAGTCCTTTTTCCTATTCAATCGAATGGTATCTCTATCGAATAAACAAAATAGCAAATGGTAAAAAAACAATGCATGAGTCCGTTGTTTTCACACATGTGCATATTTATTTATTGATCGAGACACTTTTCTATCTGACATTTTAAACCGGATATTGGCCTTGTACACATGCCTATCTTGGATTTCTCATTAGATATCCAGGGAGGAAAAGGAACGATATCGTAATTGAAAATTGTTCGAAGAAATTCTTTCGGGATTCGATAAAACTGTTACTTACCATTCTCGACTTGATCGAGTTTTTTTCCTGTTGCTGTGTTGCCCATCGTTGATGTTTGAAGTCAATGTTTATACAAACGTGGAAGATAGGTTGAGAGAAAAAAAGAATGAGATGTAACGAGCAGAGATGTAAGTCGTATTAATAATGAGAGTGTATAACGATTAAAATACACATTTAAGCAGAGATGTTAATGAACCGTTGCACTGTTTCACAGATCAGACGAGCAGAAACGTGTGAGAATACTATAACAGAAATGTAACATGTTAACAAGGCAAAAAAGCAATGCCAAATAAAGACGACTATTTTTCACTGATGAAGAGAGAAAATTATGTTGTTTGAATGAATTAATGAACGCAGTAAGGAGTCAGACATATGTGTATATTCGGAAGAAGAATTCAACAGGATGGCTGCAGGGATCGGATAAAAGTACATTATTAGTGAAAACGATGGGGGAGAAGAGAGAAAAAGAACTTTGAGCTTCTTTTCCGCTTTGCCTCAAACTACATCGAACAAGGATGATGTGTCGTCATTGAATAATTAGGTATGCGTGAATGTAGCTGGCCTGGTAACGATGATATTAATATAGATTTGAAAAGGCACACAGAATAGAAGTGGATTCTGGAAAACTGCTGTTATTATTCGGTATTCTATAGTTGAGAAGAACAAACCGACTAACCGGTATTGCCGATGAAATCACCGGCAAAAGAAATTTTTTAAAGAGAAAAAACTAGTTTAATCACGACTCAACATATTTCCTCTCGCTGCTTTATCCTTGCATGTTTATTCGAATCGTTGGCCATTTATCAGTGATGGTTTTCCTCTCCTGCTTCGTTTTCTTTTGCGAACAACACCGACTCGTCTTTCTTTCTTTCTTCCTCTCTCTCTCTCTCTTTCTTCTGCGATAGTGTAGCCAGCAAATTGGTTCCTAATAACAAACTTATTTTATCTTTTTTTTTATTGAAAATACTCTCCTTTGTTTAGTATTTCGATTTCTAAGCAACCATCAGTTTGCTATTAACCAGTTTTTGTGCAAACTCGAGCTATTGAATAGAATCATTTGATTCTCGCCTAACAAGTTAATATGCCATCGATATTCAATAAATACTGCCTGCTAGCCTTAACATTGATCATAATACAAATCTTTCCTATCAATCTCATGTAATAATCACCAATTCATTCCTTTTCCTTTTCCTATGTCTTACCACTAATCATATGAATAGAAACGCATGTGAGGATCTGATCGAATTACTATTCTTCTTTCTCTCCTACTTCATACTACATGTGCATATCACTCCAACCCACTCAATCTCGGTGCAATCGTATTGTTTTATGACGCCAGCTGGCAGACACAATCGTTAGCATAGAGATGTTTTTTCTCGAAGAAAACGCGTGTTTCTAATGACGTTGTCTTATTGAGTTAGAGACACTCAAGTTTCCTTCAAGGTGCTCCCAATGTCAAATACTCGATCAAATACATGTCCATAACAAATAACATTCATCCCATTGAACTAATCTGATACTTTTCTCCTCTCAAAAACAAAACCTATCTTCACTAGTTGTTTTCGAAAACCGACCAACCTCGTGCGTAATCATCCGACGATATATAAATATATCAATGTTAGACATGAATCGAAACCTATCAATATCAACAGATCGTTCCTGTCGTATCGAATGACAATCACTGAATAACAACACGACGTCAGTTTTGGAAATAGGATGGCAACAACTGCACTATTGAATAACGCATGTACTTTTCACTGCCAATCATCTGTCTACTTGAACATCATCATTATTCCTTTCCTAAGAGAGTCTTCTTTGACATGTAAGTGGGATTTAATCAACTTTTATTTAACAAACAACAATTAAACACAAGAATCAACTGATGTTCATTGACATTTTTCTCGTTTATAAATACAGTGATGCTGCAAAGACTATATCACGTTTGATCTTTTGAGTGCCTACAAAAAGACAAATGTCAGGTAANTTTTTTTCGATTCGATAGATTGAAAACGAAGACACAATTCTCATGGACGACAATTCCAATCTAACAGATAAATTCGTTCAACAGAATCCGTTAGCATCACAAATTTATACACAACCATTGTCTTCATCTACCTCCGAAACAAGTGAAGTGCGAATGGATCCGACATCTGTTCGTTTGACAGTAAAATTCCATCGACGAATGTTTCGTTAGCCATCAATTTCAATGTTATTTTTGTGTTAGGATCTACTCTCATATCAAGATGTTATGAAAGCAATTGAACGAGAATTTCATCTACACGATGGACAAGAACGTGAAATCATTATGAAATTATGGTTGAAAGAACAGGCGATGATATCGATTCTTCAACGATTTCGGCATCTTTTTCAAGACTTTCAAATTGATGATAAAGACTTCGTTGAAGGAATTAAGGTGTGATTTGAGAAAGCGCAAACTTTTCAGTCATGTTTGTCTGTTTCGTTTAGCAAATTCGTGAGATGATCAACTATGCTCATCGTGATGTTCATTATCTCAGTGAACAGGTGACAATGCTTGAGAATCAAAATCACTTTCTCGAAAGTGAATTTCAACGACAACTCGATAAAATCGTTCAAGAAAAAAACGAACAAATAAGTCGACTAATCCATATCATTGATCAATCGTGTACAACGAACCATAATAAAGAGCAAATCTTACAGGAGAATTACTCAACAGGTAAGTTTGCACTTGGAATGTTCATAGTTGATGATATGCAATTAGACATGACAGACTTGTTGAAGAAATTTCAACAAGAAAATGCGGAATTGCATCGTGAAATCGAAACACTTCGAGCAAAACTTGAATATACATTTACCTCTGTGAATGAGAAACTAGATCAAGAGCAAACGGAGGTAGAAGAATCGTCGACTTCGGCCGTTCAAAAAGCTTTCGAACAACTTCGACACGCGGAAAATAATTTGCAAGAATGGAAATTGAAATCAGCAGCACAACAAGAAGAAAATGATCTATTGAAATATTTAGTAAACAGCTCGAAAAAAACAAACTTTGAGAAACTTTTCACCCTTTTGTGCATTTTCAGTTAGAAAAATCTCAGCGACCGTCGGATGGTGAACACGGAGACTTAGTCGGAGCAATGGAACAACATCCATTGAATCGAGAAATCGATCGTGTTCGTCAGGAATTAGAACTAACCGAAAAGAAAGCAATACAACTTGAACAACGAGTAAAGGAACGTTCTTCTGCTTAGTTTCTTCGCATAGATTTATTTCAGTTCGAATCGTCCGATGAAAACGTTCAGTTTCATCTGGAAAAATTGAAACTAAAATGCGATATTTTGCGGAAACATGTGCTCACGTGCACACAGCGGTTAGATGACTACAACGAACAAATTCGAATGGAATTTCGAAATGAAAAACAGATGCAAAAGTAACTATCATTTCGTTTGTATTCTTCATTCAGTTCTAATCTTTGTCTAGAAACAATAATCCAACAGAAGATTCGGTCAGTCAGGTAAATAATCGCTTGCTGAGTATCATCAAATCAAATTTTCTTTGAATTAGAAAAAGATTTTTGAACTGGAAAAAGAATTATCAACATTGCGTGAACGTTACGATGAACTACTTGAGCATTCGAACACAATGAAAGCGGATTTATACCATGCTAAGAAGCAATTGCATGAAAAAGAGAAGGTAAGATTATTAAGTCGGTTCGATGGGTAGTCATAATGATGAATTTCAGCTTGACCCAACTTCCAGTGCGGATATAGAGCGAGAACGACAACGTGCGGATCTTCTTGAAAATGAAGTCAAATTTCTAAAAGCTAAATATGACGATGCACATGGCCGTATTACAGCTGGAACGCAACAGTTCGAATGTTTACAATCAGCGTTCGACCAAATATCACGTCGTTGTGAGAAATTAGAAGAGGAAAAGGTATGATCTGTCTTTAGCAATGTTCGGAGAAAGTGAATGTGTTTTTGGCCTTCAGGTACAAATCGATCTTGAGTCGAAATCTGTTGCTAAGAATGTTGCAAATGTCACAGCGAAGTATAAGAACAAATTACATACGATAAAAGCTCGTTTGTGAGTGAACTTCTATGCATAGTGAAGTGTTTCATATGATTGCTTGTTAGAGAACAAACCGAACGTGAAAAACGTGAATTACAAAGTCTGAGCGAACAATATCAAATGGAAGTCGAACGAGTTACACACGAATTAATACACAAAAAGGAGATCATTATCGAGAAAGAGAAAGTCATTCAAGACATTCAATACAGAAACATCGAAATTCTCAGGGAGAAACAAGTCGTTGAAGAAAGGGTATCGAACGAATCGAAACAATACAGTGAACTGATTTTCAAGTATGCTTCCTCAAATATTTCCTGTCACATATTCATTCACGCGCAAATTTTAGAAATAATCTTCTCGAAGAAGAACTGAATCGTCTTCGACAATGTCAACTATCCGAAAATCTGTCCATCCACCGGTAAAGAATAAAGTTACCTTTCGAATGCAATTGTTCTGTTTAGAACGGAAACGAACATATCGGATTCATCGAAATACATCGAAGAATTGAAATGCAAAGTATGCAGTAGATCGACTTGCTTCGCGAACGACGATTTTCTCATTTCAGATCGATGAATACGAACAACATTTTGTCGAAGAGAAATCAACGAAAGAATCATTACAAGTTCAAATTAAAATACTCGAAGAAGAAAATCTCGATTTACGAGAGATTATGAATCAAATGAGAAAGCGAACACAAGACGATCGGAAGTAATTGTTATTTTACATTCTCACTATCGATGTATACAGCTTGTTATGTACCTAACATACTCGTCCTCTATTCCATTGTTCGTTTCGAGTAGTTTGACAATCAAATTCATTTGTTCTCGAATTGTATACAAGATATGTTGAAGGAGAATCTAATGAGATTTTCGAGAGGATGTTTAAATCTAAGACGTATTTGTCATCTCGAGTAGTTCTTTAAACATGAAAAGATTGTTTTTAATGATAAGAAGAAGAAGATCTTTGAAGATATTATATTGAATAGAACATGAAATCTGATTAATTATAAGAGATATTCTTCATCATTTGCTCAAGTATTTCATTCTATTTCTAGGGAAGAACGAGATCGGAATATCGAAATTCAACAATTGATTGCACGCACTGAATTCAACGCTCGGCATAAATTTTCATTCACCAAATTCATCAATACCATCGACGTCAGTTGAACTCGATCCATTGACATCGAATTTCTTGTGCAATTTTCACTACTGAACAGCGATTCACTTTTTTCCTTGTATTTGTTAATACTCATCCGATGTTATTAGATTAGTTTAAACAATCGTGATTATTCAGCCTGATAATACGCGAAGTTTTCTTCCGTGAATGTTTGTTCACATGAAAATCAATGTGCGGAAATGTGACATGCGAAGTTGATTAAGTAGATCGTTTTGCTTTTTCTGCTAACAATCCACTTGAAAATGCACGATCGACATTGACATTTATGTTCGTGAAGAGAATTTAATCTTCTTCTGTTGGAATCTCTTCTCATTGAAATTTTTGCTTCGCTGACCTTCAAGTACTCAAATATATTCTCTATGAAAACAATCATTTCGCCTTTTCAAATAGAACGGGGAAGCCAACTAATCTAGTGAANTCTTTAGAGATAGATTTACCTTCGAAGATAGTGGTCATTTTACAAATGTTAGCAAAACTTTGTCCATCAACCCATGCTTTAATAACTTCCATCATGAATGGTTTGAATCCATCAACATAACGTTCTTCAACCATGTCAATTTTACTTTCGATTGAAACACGTGCTACTCGACGAGCTGTTTCCTAAAGTAAACTCGTTTGTCTATTGACGATTATCTTGACGATTGATTTACTTACTTGAAGAGTGCGCAAAGGTCCTGATAGTTCTGGTGGTAGTTTTGGCATTTCGTTCGCTTTTTCTTGAAAAACAAAGCAACTCAATAGCGCACACGCTTGACTAACAGTTAAGTCATTAAAAACACCGTTGAATAACAGTTCTGTTGTGACAAGTTCATCTCCAGTATCGATTTCACAAGCAACCCGACCTTTGAGATCGATGACGTCAGCTGAATTGCAATAACCCAATCGACGAAGGACACGTTTATAACGTTTCAAATCACCGATTTGTAACAATGATTGTGCCTTTTTCAATTCATTCTTGGCTTCGTTCACTTGACTTTCAATATTTGCTTTACGTTCATATTGTTCGTAAATATACTTTAATTGAAAGTTATTCGTTAATGGATGTTCGTTGATGCGTGTTTGTAACACGACATATTGTTTCACGCATGAAATCATCTCCGACGATTTGATACCCATGTCTTTGACTGGATCAAGTAGGGGCAAACCACCTGGATATTGACGTTTGAGGTCTTGAATATATTTCAATACACCTTGCCGAGCTTCTTTCGGACGTAAATCGTCCGGTAAATAGACTCGTACAGCACTAATATCGCGAATTAATGTATGTTGAATTGGAATCGCCTGAATGAAACAGAGAGTTCTAACGACGATATCAGAATGCACTTCTTACTTTCATTTCACCTCTTTCAACATAGGAACATGGCTGAATTTCAGCTGTTAGTTTTTGTAACGCGCTTTCTAACGTTAGATATGCGAGTACATCGACGATGTAGATCGGCTATAAACATCGAACGAGAAACAAATTACAAACAAGCTGGCAATTAAACACGCACCTTCTCGCCAGGTTTACGTTGAAAATTGAGAACAACACACCAATCAAAATTCAGATCGTTGCATTTTACCTAGGAGAATATCTAGAATTCAATCTATTCAGACGTTTTCTTACTGTCACAAGTCGACCGGGTTGAAGAAATGGTAATAAGTATTTTGGTTCGTTCATCATTACAGACATTTGATCTTGGACAAGCTCAAGTTTTTTCTTTAATTTATAATATCGAGCTACTTCTTCTTCGTTGTCGATTTTTATTGCTTCATACTGTTGTTCACAAGTTTTTAATTCTAAATAATCAATTTTCTTATCCAATTAAGAGTCAGTCTTCAAAAATCATACTGTCGTAGAGTGCAGGTATCGACGAAAAATGTTGAAATTGATAAAATGATCGTTCTAACATAAATTCTGGATTGATACCTTCGACACGCAGTAAATTCAACACCATATTATACGTCAATTTGAATGCACTATTCAATGGATCAGCTTTTCCCTAGATAAACGGATGTTTAACTTCACACTTGCTGAAAACATAATCTACAAACCTTAACAATTTCTTTGGCAGTTGTAGGACTCATTCGTTCATCGATGATCAGAACAACAATTCCACGTTCATCCTTTCCACGACGTCCAGCTCGTCCACTCATTTGTATATATTCACCCGATGTGATCTAAAATCGAGCAGTGTCATTCTCTGTCAAGTTGAATATTTCGATTCCTTACCCAACGCAATTCCTTTCCATCGAATTTTCTTGGTGTTGTAAACAATACAGTACGAGCGGGCATGTTTAATCCCATACTGAATGTTTCCGTGGCAAATAAAGCTTTGATTAGCCCTTCGCCGAAGAGAATCTCAATCGTTTCTTTGATAATTGGCAGCAAACCTGAATGATGAATTCCTACACCTTTTCTGAGTAGAGGTAGAACTGTATTGATTTGGGGTAGTTTTTTGTCTTCATCCGATAGAAGATCGATGGCATTGTTAAAAACTTCTTCTACTAGACGTTTTTCTTCTTCTGTAAAATGAAATCAAAAGAATGAAAAAACAAAACATATACAAATAAGAACAAACCGGAGTTGAAATCGAGTTTTGCTGTTGCACATGCATAAGTTTCACAATCTTTTTTACTGAAACTAAACACGATCACCGGAGCAAGGTTACGTTCCATGATCATTTTCACAATTTTGAAGACATTCGTTTCGGCTGATAGAGAATAGTATAGAAGAAAGTTCAAACACTTTACGAAATATGACATATCAGTACCTTTGAAACCGCCGCGTCGTCCTCGTTTATCGCCTTTCGCAGCATCACCAACATCGCGTAGTGTTGCCATAGCAGAACTGAAATTATCTTCACGAAATTTTCCCTAAAGCAATCCATGCAAAATCAATTTGTATAAGAATACAACCGTAGATAGTACCGTTTCATCGACAACTAAATGAAGACCATCAGCACCTGCTGGATATATGTAGTGATGAAGAGGAACAGGTCGAACATCAGTATAAACGACATGGCACGGCTAAAGAGGGATATGAATTCAATTATACTATTTATAACTTTACCTGATTATGAAGAAACGAGATCCACTCAGCAAATTGTTTCGCATTGGGTATTGTAGCTGATAGGAACACATAATGAACGTTATCCGGTAATAGGATAATTGTTTCTTCCCATATAACACCACGTTCTACAAGAAATACCCGTTATTTTCGTCGTACGATTTCATTATTTCTCTATTACCTTTGTCACGAAGATAATGAATTTCATCGAATATAACCCACGCAACTTCACGCGTAATCTCCGAACCACGATAAAGCATCGATCGAAGAATCTAAATATCTCTCGTCGAACCAATTTTCATTATTTACATCTGATACCTCTGTTGTCATAATTAGACATGATGCCGATGGATTGAGTGTGACATCTCCCGTCATTAAACCCACATCTTTGAATTCTTCATGTAATTCACGATATTTCTGGTTGCTCAAAGCTTTAATCGGTGTGGTATAAATAACACGTTGCTTGTCACGCAAAGCCATGGCAACTGCATATCTATGTCATTTGGTTTCCGTAGAAAACGAAGTTATATAGGTCGTTGCTTACTCGGCTACGACTGTTTTTCCTGCGGACGTATGAGCAGAAACAAGAACCGATTGATTGTTCTGTAAACAAGTGATTGCTTCACGTTGAAATGGATCTAGATTGAATCGATACTCTTTGGCCGGTGGGCCCACGGCCGGTTTCAATGGGACATATTCGAAATTTGGTGGTAAAACGACCTGAAATGAGTTCAAAAGTTATCTAAAATTTATCGATATAGAACAGACGCACGAACCTCGTGTAAACACGATTCAATAGTTTCAACAGTATGAATTTGCATACGTGGAACATTTTCAAAAAACCTAAACGAGTATTCTGTAGATACGGTTCAAATTTCAATAGATTATCTTTACTTTCCAGCATTTGCTTCGTTGGACACTTCAGTTCGAGTACGTTTCGAATTCAAATCCGACGGATCTTCTTCTTCTTCCCATGTACGTTTATCCGTCGACATCGATTCGCCATTCTCATCACTCTCCTTGCTACAAAAGACAACAGAGAATCATCATGATCTTCCTTTCCAGTAAGCAGTGGCTTACATTTTCGTCGGTTGTTCAATGACTGGAACATTCTTTGGTATATCTACCACCGGTGTTGGTTCTTCTTGATCGAAGACATCGAAAAGTGCGTCATCACTCATCTACAGAATTAAACAAAGGAAAATCTGACGAAAAGAAAAATAATTCTATTCAACTTTGCTTTTTAATATGAAAATAAATGTTGTCATCATCAGGACATATACAAAAAAAAAGAAGAAAAAATGGACTACTTTATTTGGCAAGCACAAACATGAGTGCATCAACAAATTTCTGTTGGTGTTGTTCTTGTAGTAATAAAACTGAATGATCAAAAAAGACAAACTTCGCCACATTACCACAACGACGATCAGCTGCTTCGAATATTGTCGAAAAGGAGTTCATCATAATACTATTCAATGAAGGTACACCGACAACTATTTCAACTAACTCTTCTCCGGAGTTCATCGATGAATATGGTGCAATTAGAATCAATGGTAAACGTTGTAAATGCTTCGATTTCTTCTTTTTCACAGCATTGCTTGACGCTGATGTGTAAGAGATCAACGTTTGTAAAGCATTGCGCGCAAACAGATAGGCTTGGTATGGATGGGTGAAAAATCCGCATGATGTTGTATGGTCAGTTGTTGTTGATGAATTAAACATATTCTGATCGAATTTAAGTAGAATAAATGGAATCGTGTTATCAAATGACAGATTTTTATCGGATTGTAGCAATGTTTCGATTAAATAATGTGTTTTGTTCATATAGACTTTCTCTAATTCGATACCACCTAAATAATCTGTTAATTGATGATAATTTAAACATGACAATGCCAATGAGAAGCGTTCTGTTAAATCGATCATCATCGATGTCGATGTTGATGATGATGATGCGGTTTGTAATGTCGCCATGATCGAAAGGACGATATCTTGAGGAGACAGTTTCAACGTAAAACCACTTGATAGTAAAAATGTTGGTAAGATGATTGTATTGGTTGTATAATGATATTTATCTTGTAAACGCTTGTCTAAGATTTGCTTTTTGATATTTACTTTGTACTTGATGTTCATATCGCGATAGTTTTGTTCATATTCACGTTTGGGTATACCCAGATCAGCTAGAAATTCTTTCAATTGCGCTAGACCACGTGAAGACCATAGTTTGAACGCTAAAATCATCTCCTGTGTGTGACAGATGGAGTCGTAGAAAGACCAATGTCTGAGCAGATGAAAGTTAATATCTTCATCGAATTTAATGTTGATACAATCCATTGAAAGTTTCGAATTGGACGTATTCAATGCTGGATTATTTTCATCCGTTATCGAACGTGTAGTATTTTGATGATGATTCAATCGAAGAACATGCGTCTGAAGAATAATCACGATCGATTCGTCCATGGATCAACTGTTCTGTTACGCCGATGATTGCATACCTAAAGATGATATTCAAGTCGAAGTTTGATAGATAGATTGGCTTCTTTACCATAATTGTTCGTTGGTATCTTTGGACAGAAGATAAGCGAGTTCGAACATGACTAGAGCTGATGAATACGAATGTGAACGATATTTGTAGTAATTGCCGAGTGCTTTATCACGTTTTTTCAACCATTGTCGTTTCAAGCGTTTTTCTCGTCCTTCAGTACTTTCGATTCTCATATTTGAACCATCGTCATCGTCATCATCATCATTTTCTTCGTTTTCACTTTCATTCTCATCGTTATTGTCATCATCATAGACTTCGTGAAACAACTCTTCGTATTGCGGCACACGTTTCTTCTCCACATCAGTTTTATTCGGTAATATTAATATCCGTATTTGTTTCGCATCATACACATTTCGATGTTCAATGGGACGTAAACTATCAAGAACAAATAGTGTGAGAGAGTTATCGTCATTTCCAATTGAGTCAAGTGATAAGAAATCATATAAATCAAGTGTCGAGCCACAATTAATGAATATCATTGATTTGATTCCACTATTAATATGCTGCATATGACCATTTTCTAAATCGTATTTGTATAAAACAGGTAGACATGTGTATGTGATGTGTTCACATTGCAATAAATGTTGAAAGATTTTCCAAGCACACAAACTATCGACATCGAGATGAACAAAGACAAGTAAACGACGTTGTTGTTTAGAAATAAATTCGAAAAATTCACGTTTCAAATCACGTATAAACACCATATTACTTGATCTAGCGTTGAAAATGTACAATTTCTTAATAAAGCTATGACAAGTTTAGTATCGATTTATTGTCTCTTGCTTTTTATTCTCTATTGGTCGGTTTGGTTAACCAATTAGACAACGAGTTTAATGTCGCTTGACAACCAATTTTGTGACACAAAAAATGTTTTGAAATGCGTCTAATTTTCTTCAGTTTATTAAAACAAAATGATTTCTAGCTCAATATCTACTCCATACATAGTTCCATTGCGTGTCGATCAAAGGCATCAGTTTTTCATTGATACGAATACATTAATTGAAATCGGAAGTCACTCAAGCGATGTTGACCTATATTATACGTTAGATGGTACCAAGCCTGACGCTTTTATAACATTGACAAGCCGACGTTCAACGATACAATACCGAAAACCGTTCTATATTCCACGAGAGATAGCCACTGCTGGAAAAGTATCAGTCAAAGCAATTGCAGTCTCGCGGTAAATGTTTGCGCGTGTGAGTATTTCAAATGTAGGTCGAAGTTCTCTTCAGGAATGGAATTAGAGAAAGTGCTGTAGTGACCAAAGTGTTCGATATCAAGATTGTTCCATCGGATCATGCATCATCCGATGAATATGAAAACCGATACTTGTATGAATTACAACAGGAACGACAAGTAAGTGAACAAATTTGACTTATTAGACAAGAGAAGAATCTTGTTTGTCTATCATAGGAATTGATGAAAAGAATCCATGTGGATCATGAACAAAAATTATCTGGTAAACAAATCATATTTTCTTTTGTAGTTTGTGCAACTATGGAAGGTTTCTATTTAGATTCAATGTCTCGTTTACAAACCAATTCATTTACTCAAGATACTTCATCGCCGTACGCCAATGTTCATTCTCAGAGACCAACAGAAGTCCTGCAGTATGTGTTTGCAACTTGTTGAACACTCGAATAATTCTCGTTGGTAGATGTTCCTCTTGCTTCGCGCCGAAATTGAATAATCTCTATACGCGATTCTGTACATCATGTGGTCGACCTTGGAAACAACTTACCAAAAACCAAATGAATACTTATTCAGTACGAGAATGTTATTCTTATCGGTTTCAATTTATTATTGACTCATTTAGGCGACTGTATGTGCAAAATGTAAATCTACTCTTCCATTAAATTCCGATCGATGTGTTGTTTGCGAAACAACAGAACCACTGGAGCCACCATCATCGAAACCCAAAGTTCCGAGTCAAGTATGAGTATTAGTTGAAACACGATCAACTGCTATTACGAGTCTTTCTTTCAGAGTACGATCATATGTCCACATTGTAAATCAGCTAATCCCGTACATTTGCGCGCATGTTACATTTGTGAAAGTGTCTTGATACCGACGTCGACACCTGTAAATATTCATTGTCTTTCTTCTAACGATCTGTACACTATCTGCTTTTCTCAGCAAATGCGAGCATCTGTATCGGTACCAGTCCTGACGCAAACATTGATGACTTGCTCGAAATGCTTACGAGTGAATAATACCGATGCTCGATTTTGTGATTGGTGTGGTGCACATCCGGAAAAAGTCTTAACACAGTTACAGTGTACAAAATGTCGAGCAACGAATGATCCAACTGCAAAATTTTGTTCGACATGTGGATGCGTTCTTGAAGCATCGACGCGAAATCCTATGAATGGTTCGACCTCATCGATGATTGCTAGTGTAAGTCTGGTAAACGAAGAACGTAAATCTATGTTGATCAATTCTGATTTAGACTTTAACGCGTCCACCAGTGTACCCTCCTGTAGTGAATGTACCAGTAAATCTGTACAATCAATCAACTTGGATTGCAAAACGTGAAGCAACAACACAAACATCAGGTATACCTTATCCAAGTGCAAAAGAAGTTGATCAATTGATAACGCAAAATAAACAATTACAAGCCGATCAAGAGTTTAAAGAACGTCATCCAGTGTTAACACCAGTCAGTCCAGGAAAAGGCTATTGGAAACAACAGCTAGATCATGTTTGTGCGCATTTGAAAGCCTTTGCGGCTAATCGAGCAGATTTTCGAGCGTTGATTGGTAAGGTTCAAACGAGCAGGATGATCCGAAAGATTTCTTTGTTGATGTTAGGTCAACCACGTATGGGCAAAATGATCCATGCAACTGTTCAAGAGAATGATCGACAAATTATAGTGCAAACAGTCTTTCTCAAACCAGAAAATCTGTCTCAATCAACAGCTTTCATCAACCAAAAGGATGAATATTCTCCCGTAAATCTCGATCGTATCTCACCACTGCCGAGCACTTTCAATTCAGATGGTATTTGATTGTTGAGCGAGTCCTGGAATGTATCTAATCGTTTTCTTCTTCAGATGAATATACACGAGAAAAATCTCATCGAAAGAAGGAGAGAAAACGGCCACAATCAACGAATGGTTTCGATGCTGAGGGTGTAAGAATAGAACGAGTCTTTCAATTTTCTATTATCTGTCATTTTTAAAGCCAAGTCATGCTTTACTCAAACTACTAGAACGGAAAAACGATAAGAAGACGAAATCTTCTCGACACGTCGATATCTATGACGAAGTCAAACGTCTGATCAAAGAGAAAAAAGCAGATCCCAACACTCGAAACAAGGATGGTTACACAGCTGTTCAATTAGCTGTGCGTAGTGAGCATTTCGACTGCTTAGAAACATTGATTAGAGATGGTGACGCAAAATTAGATAAACGGGGACCGTGAGTAGAATGAATCCGTTAAAATCCAGATTTTGTATTTTCTTTTCATTAGACGAGGAACAACTGCTTTACATGAATGTTGCTTATTGGATTCTGATTCGACGGATGCACTTCGAATCCTTCTCAAGTACATTGCACGCTTGTTAAAAATTCAAACGATCGTTTTTTTTCGTTTTCCAGATATGGTGGTGATGTGACTTGGTTGGACGACAAGAAACGAAGCGTCGTCGATTTAGCAGCGAAATACAATCGGCAAGACTTGTTACAGGTCATTGCATCCACTCGTGGGCAAAAAATGATTAACCGTCAGGTGAAGACGTACTACGAAGGAAATACAGGAATGCGGACGGCCGACGATTACCATTCCTCATTGAAAACATAAACTTCACCTCCTCTTTCTCCTACAATGCTTGTTTTTTGCTGTGATAAAATATTTTACTGGGAGTTAAATAAAAAAAAAAGAGACTTATGCTTTAGTAAATTATCATTTCTGATAAGACCACCAAAAAAGTCATGTAATTGATAACAATGGACTTATTGTGATAAATTACAACTCTGATACGAAGCACAAGCGTTTGATCCGATAGGAACTTTCACGTGATGGCCTTGTTTATTTTACACGAAGAAACAAGATATTCTACGGTTCATATTCAACAACTTGAACAAAAAAAAGTTCCATCGAATTTGCTCGACAAATCTCATAAGCAATCCTTGTTAGTCTACATTAATCAAGGTGATTGTCACTAATACGAATGGAGTTGTTCTTCGAAATGATTATATAATCTCTCAGTTACTCTCTTCTGTCATTTTTTTGTCGCATATTTTTCTTCTTATACATATTGTTGCCGTTTCTTATCTCACAAGTATCGAATAGCAACAATTTCGAACGTATAAAGACATTTTTTTTCTCTTTTCATGAGAAAAGAATCTATAGATGAACAAATAAGAATGTCTAAGCATCTTATGACTTCATTCGTATTTTTTTTACATCGAATATCAGACGACAGGAACATCAACTTATAGGGGAAAGAAGTCGCGTGCGTACCGCCGCTCAATTTCATTCGAAACTCATCAGAAGCTCCCTATTTGAAAGTGTGCCTTCAACAATTGATTATATAATAATCATCTCGGTTTCTTTTTTTTTATTATTTAGCTGCTATACATTGCAATCCATCGAAGGTCAGTCAAATTCTCTTTTTTTTTGTAAATATACTTCCTTTTATTCGAAAGAAAAGAATCGTCAAAATATTTATTTTCTTCCAGGCATTTGATACTGATGATCAAGAGATTAAATTAATAAAACAAACAAATAGAGTGAGTCGAAGTCGATTGAAACGTACAAAAAATCTACGATCTTTTTGCGATTCGATAGATTGAAAACGAAGGCACAACTCCCATGGACGACAATTCCAATCTAACAGATAAATTCGTTCAACAGAATCCCTTAGCATCACAAATTTACACACAACCATTGTCTTCATCTACCTCCGAGACAAGTGAAGTGCGAATGGGTCCGACATCTGTTCGTTTGACAGTAAAATTCCATTGACGAATGTTTCGTTAGCCATCAATTTCAATGTTATTTTTGTGTTAGGATCTGCTCTCATATCAAGATGTTATGAAAGCAATTGAACGAGAATTTCATCTACACGATGGACAAGAACGTGAAATCATCATGAAATTATGGCTGAAAGAGCAAGCGATGATATCGATTCTTCAACGTTTTCGGCATCTATTTCAAGACCTTCAAATTGATGACAAAGACTTCGTCGAAGGAATTAAGGTGTGATTGGAGAAAGAACGAACTTTTCGGTCATGTTTGTCTCTTTCGTTTAGCAAATTCGTGAGATGATCAACTATGCTCATCGTGATGTTCATTATCTCGGTGAACAGGTGACGATGCTTGAGAATCAGAATCACTTTCTCGAAAGTGAATTTCAACGACAACTCGATAAAATCGTTCAAGAAAAAAACGAACAAATAAGTCGACTAATCCATATCATTGATCAATCGTGTACAACGAACCATAATAAAGAGCAAATCTTACAGGAGAGTTACTCGACAGGTAAGTTTGCACTTAGAATGTTCATAATTGACGATATGCGATTAGACATGGCGGACTTGTTGAAGAAGTTTCAACAAGAAAATGTCGAATTGCAACGTGAAATCGAAACACTTCGGGCGAAACTTGAATATACATTTACATCTGTGAATGAGAAACTAGATCAACAGCAAACGGAGGTAGAAGACTCATCGACTTCGGCCGTTCAAAAAGCTTTCGAACAACTTCGACACGCGGAAAATCATTTGCAAGAATGGAAATTGAAATCAGCAGCACAACAAGAAGAAAATGATCTATTGAAATATTTAGTAAACAGCTCGAAAGAAAAACTTTAGGAAACTTTTCACCGTTTTGTATATTCTCAGTTAGAAAAATCTCAGCGACCATCGGATGTTGAGCAAGGAGATTCAGTTGGAGCAATGGAACAACATCCATTGAATCGAGAAATCGATCGTGTTCGTCAGGAATTAGAATTAACCGAAAAGAAAGCAATACAACTTGAACAACGAGTAAACGAACGATCTTCTCTTTAGTTTCTTCGCATAGATTTATTTCAGTTCGAATCGTCCGATGAAAATGTTCAGTTTCATCTGGAAAAATTGAAACTAAAATGCGATATTTTGCGAAAACATGTGCTTACGTGCACGCAACGATTAGATGACTACAACGAACAAATTCGAATGGAATTTCGAAATGAAAAACAGACACAAAAGTAACTGTCATTTCGTTGTCATTCTTCATTCAGTTCTACTCTTCGTCTAGAAACCATAATCCAACAGAAGATTCGGTCAGTCAGGTAAACAATTGCTTGCTGAGTGTAATCAAACCAAATTCCCCTTGACTTAGAAAAAGATTTCTGAACTGGAAAAAGAGTTATCAACATTGCGTGAACGTTACGATGAACTCCTTGAGCACTCGAACACGATGAAAGCGGATTTATACCACGCTAAGAAGCAATTGCATGAAAAAGAGAAGGTAAGATTATTAAGTCGGTTCGATGGATAGTCATAATGATGAGTTTCAGCTTGAGCCAACTTCCAGTGCGGATATAGAGCGAGAACGACAGCGTTCGGGTCTTCTTGAAAATGAAGTCAAATTTCTAAAAGCCAAATATGACGATGCATATGGCCGTATTACAGCTGGAACGCAGCAGTTCGAATGTTTACAATCAGCGTTCGATCAAATATCACGCCGTTGTGAGAAATTAGAAGAGGAAAAGGTATGATCTGTCTTTGGCAATGTTCGGAGAAAGTGGATTAGTTTTTGATCTTCAGGTGCAAATCGATCTTGAATCGAAGTCTGTTGCTAAGAATGTTGCAAGTGTCACAGCGAAGTATAAGAACAAATTACATACGGTCAAAGCTCGTTTGTGAGTGAACTTCTATGAATAGTGAAGAGTTTCGTATAATTGCTTGTTAGAGAACAAACCGAACGTGAAAAACGTGAATTACAAAGTCTGAGCGAACAATATCAAATGGAAGTCGAACGAGTTAAACACGAATTAATACACAAAAAGGAGATCATTATCGAGAAAGAGAAAGTCATTCAAGACATTCAATACAAAAACATCGAAATTCTCAGGGAAAAACAAACCGTTGAAGAAAGGGTATCGAATGAATCGAAACAATACAGTGAACTGATTTTCAAGTATGCCTCCTCAAATATCTTCTGTCACACATTCATTCATGCGGAAATTTTAGAAATAATCTTCTCGAAGAAGAATTGAATCGTCTTCGACAATGTCAACTATCCGAAAATCTGTCCGTCCACCAACGGTAAGGAATGAATTTACCTTTCGAATGCAATTGTTCTGTTTAGAACGGAAACCAGCATATCGGATTCATCGAAATACATCGAAGAATTGAAATGCAAAGTATGCAGTTGATCGTCTTGCTTCGTGAACGACGATTTTCTCGTTTCAGATCGATGAATACGAACAACTTTTTGTCGAAGAGAAATCAACGAAAGAATCATTACAAGTTCAAATTAAAATACTCGAAGAAGAAAATCTCGATTTACGAGAGATTATGAATCAAATGAGAAAGCGAACGCAAGACGATCGGAAGTAATTGTTATTTTACATTCTCACAGTCCATGTATAAAGCTTGTTATGCACCTAACATATTCGTCCTCTACTCCATTGTTCGTTTCGAGTAGTTTGACAATCAAATTCATTTGTTCTCGACTTGTATATAAGATATGTTGAAGAAGAATCTAATTAGATTTTCGAGAGGATGTTTAAATCTAAGGCGTATTTGTCATCTCGAGTAGTTCTTTAAACATGAAAAGATTCTTTTTAATGATAAGAAGAAGATCTTCGAAGATATTACATTGAATAGAACATGAAATCTGATTAATCATAAGGGATATTCTTCATCATTTGCTCAAGTATTTCATTCTATTTCTAGGGAAGAACGAGATCGGAATGTCGAAATTCAACAATTGATTGCACGCACTGAATTCAACGTTCGGCATAAATTCTCATTCACCAAATTCATCAATACCATCGACGTCAATTGAACTCGATCCATTGACATCGAATTTCTTGTGCAATTTCACTACTAAACAGCGATTCGCTTTTTTTCCTTGTATTTGTTAATACACATCCGATGTTATTAGATTAGTTTAAACAATCGTGATTGTTCAGCCTGATAATACGCGAAGTTTTCTTCCGTGAATGTTTGTTCACATGGAAATCAATGTGCGGAAATGTGACATGCGAAGTTGATTAAGTAGATCGTTTTGCTTTTTCTGCTAACAATCCACTTGAAAATGCACGATCGACATTGACATTAATGTTCGCAAAGAGAATTTAATCTACTTTTCTTGGAATCTCTTCTCATTGAAATTTTTGCTTCGCTGACCTTCAAGTACTCAAATATATTCTCTATGAAAACAATCATTTCGCCTTTTCAAATAGAACGGGGAAGCCAACTAATCTAGTGAAGTCAAACAAAAACTGCGAGAAGAAAAACCGGGAAAAGGTAAAATGTTTTTTTGTTCAACATAATACATTAATCAATGCATTTTTTCTTCTTAGTATTTCTTTTGTTTTCATTTTTCCTAGAGAAAAACGCACCGATCGAACCGGACGTAGATCATGTTTGTTTTAAATTATAGTCTAACGTGAAGAAGAAAAGATAGGGAGAGTTCGGGAGAAATGAGCCAACACAAGACAAAAAGAAAATTACGGGACGACAGACGACGAGGAGCCATAGAAGAGCCAAAAAAGAAAGAATGAGTCGTGCAAGTTGGATGTATATATGTATATATATATATATATATGTGTGTGTATGTGTGTGACTCGGTTTACAAGCATTATGTGTGCATGGAGAAAACAAAGAAGAAAATGACAAGCATGTATACCAACACACATCTGACAGCAAGAAGAAGAAGACGACGACGGGAAAGATGGCACGCATAGTGTGTGATGATCATGTGAACAACAATAACAACATCAAAAAAGCAGAGAAGGAACGGATGTAGTAATACAATTGGTATTCGTAATGTAAGAGAAAGAAAAACTAGAAACCGAGGTCTCCTTCAATGGCATTAACATCAAGATCGATGGCTGCAGGATATTTGCTACAATTGGTNGAACGGGGAAGCCAACTAATCTAGTGAAGTCAAACAAAAACTGCAAGAAGAAAAAACGGAAAAAGGTAAAATGTGTTTTTTTGTTCAACATAATACATTAATCAATGCATTTTTTCTTCTTAGTGTTTTTTTTTTGTTTTCATTTTTTCCTAAAGAAAAACGCACCGATCGAACCGGACGTAGATCATGTTTGTTTTAAATTATAGTCTAACGTGAGGAAGAAAAGATAGGGAGAGTTCGGGAGAAATGAGCCAATACAAGACAAAAAGAAAATTACGGGACGACAGACGACGAGGAGCCATAGAAGAACCAGAAAAAAGAAAGAATGAGTCGTGCAAGTTGGATGTATATATGTATGTATGTATATATATATATGTGTGTATGTGTGTGTGACTCGGTTTACAAGCATTATGTGTGCATGGAGAAAACAAAGAAGAAAATGACAAGCATGTATACCAACACACATCTGACAGCAAGAAGAAGAAGAAGAAGAAGAAGAAGACGACGGGGAAAGATGGCACGCATAGTGTGTGATGATCATGTGAACAACAATAACAACATCAAAAAAGCAGAGAAGAAACGGATGTAGTAATACAATTGGTATTCGTAATGTAAGAGAAAGAAAAACTAGAAACCGAGGTCTCCTTCAATGGCATTAACATCAAGATCGATGGCTGCAGGATATTTGCTACAATTGGTTGAAGTACTTCGCGTAGCGACACCACTGTGACATCCTGATGAAGACGTTTGACTGTGAGTTGAACGTTGTTGATGATTAGCTTCACCAGAACCTGTGCTGAATCCTGAATCATATGACATATTCGATTCTTCATAATGAAATACATGACCGGGAGGAACATCAGTAAAATCGACTGGTGAATGAGCGGGAGAATCATAATCACATCCGCTATCTTCATCATCAATTCCAATACAGTCTTGATCAGCACGTCTTGTCATCTATAGTAGACAAAATCAACGGAAATGAAATGCGAATGTACTATACAATGACAAAGCTAGTCATCACTAAACTTTCTCTTCTGGATTATTCTCATTTTGATCGAACATGGTAATTAGTCGTTAAGATTTTGCTTCTCTATGTCTCAACTCAGACCATATCCTTTCATAACATGATAATTAAACGCGAGAAATCTAATACTAGCCAACATTGATTTCTAAGTCTTTGCAATTGTAAAAAAAGAAAAACAGTAAACAGGTGCAATTGTCAATCAAAATTCTTATTCCTTCTTTTCTTTTCTCCTTTGCCATTGCATTGTTCAACAAACGGCTCAAACAACTCAATTTATTTCTAAGCTTATTTGTTTGCCTGAGGAAAAAAGAAGGACAAAGTTTCTCTTTCTCGATGATCATTTCTCTTAACTTGTCTGGACAGACAGTCTTGATGTTCTCTTCACAAATCATTTGCATATATATAAATGACATACCTTCTTTGGTGAATTGCCATCAAAGCTGTATGTCGACTGAGTCTAAAAAAGAAACAGTAAAATAAGACAAATGACGCGAATCAGTTACATTTCTTTTTTTCTTGCTTTATCCCTCTCGGGTACTAATTCAATGAGACAGCAGGAAAGAAACATATGAAATGTCAGTATATTATATTTATATGCATATATATATATATATATATATATATATATATATATATATACATGTGATGCAATCTGGTTTGCAATTCATCATTATTCACTTTTGGTCTGCTATCTTTTGTATTTCTTTTTTCTTGCCTTGTCGAACCTAATGGGAACGACAACGAGCAACATTATCGAGAGTGCTCGACAATAATGATTATTACCACTACTAATAATCTAACTTTCTATATATATATCTATCTATCTGTATGTGTGTGTATGTTTGATAAGGAAAAGAAAGCTGTCAACTGTCTTGCATGCCTTACTAGCGAGAGAGAGAGAAAATTCGAATGAAACAATTGATGTGTGTTTGCTATTGACAAATGATCTGATGATGGGTGTTTATCATGCTTACGACTATCAAGACGTAAATAGAAAAAGTTCACACAATCAACGCTGAAGAGTACATTAGCACCTTTCAGTAATACGACAACAGATGAGAACGACGGAATAATAGGTATACACACACATACTGAGAATCTAATAATAATGTGTGATAGAGACATTTTGCGTGCTTCAATGAATAGAATCGATCACACATATATTAATGTATATATGAAAGAGGAAAGAAGGCAGCTTGAGATGTAGAATATAAACAATTGTCGTTGACAATGACGATGATGTTATGCAAGAAAGAACAGCTTGAAAAGAAAACGAAATACTATATATATATATATATATATATATATATATATATATATATATAAATATATATTTTATTCTTGAGAAGGAACTAGATTTAACGAGAAACAATNGCCGATGCGGCAGCAGCACGAGTCAATGGTGGCACCGGTTTCTGTTGAATACTTGGTGTGTCTAATGAAAGTTTTTCTGTGAATGACGGGATGACTTCGATATTGTTTGAACTGGAATTCTTTAATTTAGTTCGTGATCTTAGATTATATGAACTTTGAGTCGAATCTGATGATGGTGGACGTACGGCAACCGGTTTGACCACTTGTATACATTGTTCATTATTCGAGTTTATGGAAGATGAGATTTCTTTATTTAGATTAGATGTTGAACGTGTCGTTTGACGACGGGGTGACGGAGTTTTCTTCATTGTTTCATTTAAATTATTTGATAGATTGGTTGAACTTCTAGTTGTTGGATGATGATGATTACTCATCTGAATAGACAAAAGATTGGGTTTGTATAGATTAAAGAAAAACAAGAACTTGAAAGATTCAGCTATCTATATATAGGAAATTATTGTTGTTACTGCTATTACTTCTGTAGTTGGGAGGAGTGAATGATAATGGCGGTAGAGAGAAAGAGAGGAAGAGGGACAGAAGAGACAAAAAGAAAACGAGAGAACGAGAGAAAACGCGAGAAAAAAAAGAAAAAGATGCAGCAGATTTTCTCCATGTATGTGTGCACGCATGCTAATGTTAGATGTGAGCTGCACTGACCCCGATATCAATTTCACAGACGAGTGTGAACATTATTGAGTATCATCAGAAGTTCTTCGTTTTACAATTCGTGTTAAAACATAGTGAAAACTATTCGAATAAGCAGTCATAAACCCTTGTTACTGAAATCTGAGTATTTGATGAGATTGATCGGTGTAAATTCATTGAAGTTTTTTGTTACACATACGAAAAAAAAGCGAATAAAGTATCACCAGTGAAGAACACGTTAGGTTTTTTCGAGGGTTATGCGTAGTTGGATAGATGGATGAAAAATAAGAAGCAAGTAAAGACGACGACGAAAAGGACGATGTTACTTGTGCGTGCGAGCACAAACAGAACAGCTGAGCGGTGTGGTGGATAGATTGAGAAAGAAAAAGAACGAAAGGAAGGAAGAAAGAAAGAGAAGAAAAAAGAATTTTTTACTCGCTATGCAACGACAAATCTCTCTCTCTCTTGCGCGCACACACACGCACTCGTTTTTTTTTACACTGAGAAGCAATAGTAGCCGCGGGCCGCTATTTGTCAATATACATATGGAAAGAAAGCGCTAGCTTCAATAGACAAAGAGAAAGAGAAAGAGAAAGAGAAAGGAAAAGAGAGAGAGAGGGAATTGGCTTCGATTCAACACGTATGCATCGATTGTGCGCTTTCTATTTCGTATTTAAGTACACGATTATTATGAGGTGCTCGCATACATACACTTGAATATCCACCTAGGGGGTCTATTAAAATAGACTATTATTTGTATATTGCCTATTGTTCGTTCATCTCGTTTTTCAATGTTCACATTCATTATCATTAAACCCTCCGTGATAAAACATTTCGCATGCAGAGAAAAGAAAGACGAAGACAAATGTTGTGTGAGATTTTTCATTCTTTTTTTCCACTGATATATTCTTATTGAAATTTCATCAATCAGTCCAATAAAACACAACCAGAAAAACCCAAAGAAGAAAATCCAAAGCACGTCTGTTCTCACTTTCAATGTCATCGCCTGCCAAGGGCACTATAGGAAAGCTTATTATCACTATAGTTTGATCGGTACAAGATGAATCGTATTGCTGCGGACTATCACTTTTCACCGGACAGAAAATGAGAAATAACATAGAACACACGCATACAGAGAGCCTAATTGATGCAACACGGCACGAGAGATAAACAGCCGTAGTAACAACGACCATATACAGTACACAAAAGAAAAGCGATTAGAACAAGGCAAATACAAAACAGACAGAAAAGAAAACTTCGACGATGAAAGAATTTTTCTTCAAGAAAATTTTGTTGGCCAATCGGTTACATTAATTAGTTGACGAAAAGTTCCATTAAGTAATAAATCAATCCAATCTGAGAATGTTAGTTTTGAAGATGAGTGTTCACAGCTCTCATTACTATTATTACAATCAGCATCAAGTTGTCCATAAGAAACAAAAAAGTTTCGTCGAATGTACAGCGCAAGAACCGTTGCTGGGAGAAATTGACTAGATTGTTTATCGAGGATATTTTTCGAAAGTTCATTAAGCCATTGACGTGATCGTTGACGATAAAGAATAGAATAAACCATACGTGAACTAGAAAGAAAATATAATTCACAAGATTTCAGACAGGTCATCATCATCAAGTATGTTATTTTCTTTTCAGATTAAGAGAAGATGAGTTATTTCTTCAAGTGAATACATAATTACACTTTTCTCCAAGATCTATTTTGAAGTTGATTAATGTGAAATAGGAGAGGAACTTTTTTTTCCTCTAGATTAATCCAAAATAGATCGAATGTTGAATATCATTGAAGAACGTCAGATGAATTAACTGATTTTCTTATCTTCGGTACTTTTTCCTTTCATTACATACTCTTTAATTAAACGAGTTTGTTCTTTAAAATGCTTCACACATTCGTCTGCGGGCGTATCAGCAATCAGAAGTAATATAATACTATTTGCTGCGCCTGGATTTCTACAGCGTTGAAGAAAGGTTTCATTAAATTCATGTACTTGGATTTGCCTGAATTAGTCCGAAGATTAATAAGAGATTTTCTCTTCAGAATCAAATCTTACTTGATCTTATGAGACTTTTTCTGATCTATCTCAGGTTCGTCTCTTAAATAATAAATATAGATTAAAACAAGTATAGTGATTATCCAAAATTGATAGGTAAAAAGATAACTTAGTCTATTAAAAATAGAAAGAATGAAGAATATTTGTGAAAGGAAGAATGTTCTTACAAATATCGAAAGAGTCCATTTCGTTCAACCCAGTAATTCCAACGCTTTCCAAACGAATCGTACAGTTTAATAAATAGATTCTAATGAAGACAAGAATGTTAGTAGATAATAATGAGAAACAGATGTTTTACTTCATTTCTTTGATCAAGATCGACAAAGTTCGGTACGGAATGTTTCTTCGAATTTGACCAACGATGGCTAAAGAATGTCTCTAATTGTGTACTGATGTCGACTATGTCGACCGGCTTCTCGTTAATGTCAATATTTGTATCTTGAATTTCGATCGATTGAACTGACCACCGGCGAATTGCGAGAATCTGTATTCAAAAGTTTCCTTCACAAACTTCATCAATGTACAAAACATTAAACTTACGCGTAAGTTCCGCTCACGAACATACGATGCGAAGACTTGAGTGTTTAATGAACGGTCCAAATATGCCAGTTGGGATTTCTGCTCACCAAACAACCGTTTGGAAAGTTGCAGAAACGTTGAATAATGTTGTTGAAATAAATTTCGATTACCAAGGATAAGAAAACAAGGTCTAAAGAAGAACAAAGTCAACGATCTATTTTCGTTTTGTCAAAGCTTAGCCTCGTCGATTGAATAGACATCTGTCTAAACAAAGCATTAATTATTTCCTCGTAACATACGTTATCTTGATGTTATTATCAAAAAGAAAGAAACTATGATAATTCAATAAAGGCTCATCCGATACAGGAATTGACTAATGTCTAGCAGATCAGACGAGAATCCTACCTAGCTGAGCCTATAGGACAGACAAGATTGAACGCATTTGCACTTGTAATACTTGGCAAATGTAACAGTTGATTTGATTCCAATGTTTTTTTAATGTTATCAAATGAAAAGTCACTCTAAACGAACCGATAGATGGTTATGTATGTTTAACGACATGCAGACTATCGTACATCTTTGATCACAACTTCTGGTCGAGTAGTATCTTCTTTGAATAGTAGAATTGTATCAGACGTTCTTGAGATTGATATTAGATATGATGGCAATAGATTACTTTTAATTACAGCTAGGCAAGAAACTTCATGAATCGAGATTTATCGTCGAATTAGACTTACCGGAGTTAAATGTAGCACACTCTATTCGAGTTTGGTATTGCAAACAGGGTAAAACAAATTTCAACGAAGGAATTTTTTGTTTTGTTATCAGAATAGCACTAACGCGATTTGATTGATTGTAGGACATTAACATTTTCGTTATATCATCGTAGGTTTGTAACTAGACAAATGAAAATATTAATCGTAGTCAAACTTAAACAGAGAAAACTCGATTACATTTCGAACGAATCGATGTATGGGTATGGCATTTCGCACGAATTGTTTGATGTTTTGTTCGGAATAGTCTTGGTCTTCGAAATGATAAACCTGACCTTGACTAATTACACATAACGATGGGACGTTCATCACGCCTAGTTCATTACTCAAACGTTGTTCGTGAATGTTGAACTCAGCTGTGCCGATTCCTGAAGAACGAATTTTCAACTGAATTCATTGCGGAGATTTTCTACATACCAACATCGTTGAACTGTGGTTCCATCGACCGAAAAACTTCAGCAGGCCGTCGACAATGAAAACAAAAATTTGTACTTCCGAAAATCACATAAGGTTTCGTATAACTATTGGGGAGAATATCAGTTAAGAACTCACTAGAAGAAGTTAAATGACGAGGAAATCAAACTTCTATTCACAAAGAATTCTTACTACGCATGAATGATCTTCCGTGCATTGGATGATGTCTCATGGAAAAAATGTGCTCGAAACATATCGAATGGATCATGGAAATCATGTGGATTAAAACCTCGCTGTTGGTTTCCTTCCGATGTTGTACCGAACTGATCATAATCTTGCCGTTTCTTCGGATCGGACAGTATCTAAAATCGATCTTCCGGATAGAAGCAAGTGAAAAAATATGAAGAAAATTTTCTACTTCATAAGCCGCATTGATTTTTGTAAATTGATCATGAGCGTTCGGCTCGGAATTCTTATCTGGATGCCAATGTTTGGCTAGTTTCTTGTAAACTTGACGGATATCTTTATCTGATGCAGTTCGAGATACACCTAGGGTTTCATACGGATTAAAATTGCCCTCTTGATTTGATAAATTACAAAAAGAAAATATAAAATAAACAATTAGATATTTGGCAATACACATGGGATATGAACAAATCTGAAATGACAGAGAATATGGATACTATTTAGAAAAGAAAACAACTGAGTTCGTATGTATATATTTCACGACAGACAGGGACGTTCGTAATAAAACAAAGAGAGAGAGAGAGAGTAATTCTATCACAAACTTGTTCATTTTTTCTTTTGTTTTTTCATCTGTTTTTTCTTCGTTTTTTGTAAAACTTGATTTCGTTTTTTAATTTCATCGCGTTCACTCGGAGTAATCAAATGATTGTCATTATCGCTCAGAAACATTTTAAAATAAGTTCCGCCTAGCGTTCGAGTTTGTCCATTATCAGATTTGATGATTGATGGATCATTGGTTTTATGCAAGCGAATGGCTTCATGAGCGTATTGGAATGCACGTCGGCAGCCGATAATATCGAGAATTGCACGGAGAAGGTCTTCATTTCTTTCTTTATTCAACAAATGTGAAAGATTTTTCAAATCGCGGCGAGTTGGTTTTCGTTTCGGTTTGCTTTCGGTTTGCTTTTGTTTTCGTTCGAAATATTCTTCGACGTTGGTTCCCGGCGGAAAAACGTATGTTAAAGGATTCGCACTTTGTTGAGCTATAGGATCGTCGATATGAATAATTTGAGAATTATCAGCGAAAGCATTGGACATTATGGACGAAAGATTTCGTTCCGTTAACATATTCGTCCAAGATTGACCTGTTTGTGGGATTTGATTTGTTGATTGAGAAAGCATCTCATCATTATCACTATCTGAACTCAATTCTCCTTCGCTTTGCTCGTCATCATCATCGTCAGCAGCAGCAGCAGCAACTTCTCGAGGTATGTTTTGATGTTGCACATCAGTATTCATCTAGAAACCAATAAACATACACTTGAGAAATAAATTTTCTAAATTTTAATAGTAATTACAGCAAATGCTTCATATTAAGCTACGGTGTCCCAATTCTATCCAATAAGCATACGCGACGAATTCTTTTTGTCATAAGTATAGATGCAGCAACCAAGCATCTATTGATATAGATGGCATTAGCATGCGTTTTTTACCTGTTGAAATGATGGACAGAGCAGGCATGAGGATTCATTTGATCGGACAAATGAATAGCATAGGTTAATGTTCTGGTCTGAATTCAAGCGAGATATGTTCAATATACAGAGATCATTTTGCCAGTGAGACAAAGCGGATGTTAGGATACATTGACGGAAAAGTGCTCTGAAGCTGACTGGTTTTTCCCTATTTATGATAAATGGTGATGGATTTACGAACACAGAATAAGCTTCGATTAGTTGTGATCGATTTTGATAAATCGAATTTAAAATCTATGATCATTCATCACGATCCACTAGGATCCAAGTTGCATCCATCCTGTAAAAAGCAATACTTAATGGCGAATTAAGGCTTGTTTAAGTGAATCTTAGTGCACTTTAACAGAATTCAGATGGCTTTGAATGAAATTCATCTCGTCTTCTTATCATTTGAAAGATTTCATTAAATCGCAGTCTAACTCTGAGTAAACACCTGTTTCTCTAATCTTCTATCGAAATAATTAGTAAGATAAGATAGGTTTTAACACGCACTGTATGTCTACGCGACTATGGATAAGAAAGCAGATTACGAAAAATATAGTTAAGCGGTCCCCTATTGAAATTATGGACATTTATGTTTTATTTCAATGATATTCAACTTTAAAAGTGATGTCATACACTCGATGCATTCATAAGCCCATACAACTTCGACGCAATTTGATTGGATGCATGCAACGAATACCACAAGTGCATATGTGACTTATTCTGATGAAAACCTATGCAAAACGAATCTCTCCAATAGATCATAGAAGGCTTATGTTTGATAATTTTCTTTCTCAATTGGAATAGGTTCGCATCCAACACAATTGCCAAATTCATCTGTTTGGTAATTCATGGAGCAGCATTGATAAAATACATGTTTATTTCAAATATCCATGAATAAATGGAACTCGAGAATTTCAAAATTACTTTTGTAGAATATAAATATCTTTTAGATAAAACTAGTCGTCTCAGCATTAGTATAACATCATGTCGTCCAAAATTACTCGAGTAAGTTCGTTCAAACTTGCGATTCTGTCATCGTTAGTCTCAAATATATCTGTAGGATATGTTGCTTGAAACGTCACAAAACGTTTTAACCTACTCCAAAGATACGAAAAAACGTAACTTTGTTGAAACAGTCGAATTACAAATTGTTTTGAAGAACTTCGATCCATCACGTGATAAACGTTTCAGTGGCACCGTTCGTCTTCGTAATGCTCCTAAACCAAAATTCACCGTTTGTGTTTTGGGTGATGAAAGTCACTGTGACGAAGCTCGTGCTAACAACATCCCAGCAATGACTGTCGATGATTTGAAGAAATTAAACAAGGATAAGAAATTAGTGCGAAAATTATCACAACAATATGATGCCTTCTTAGCGTCCGATGTTGTCATTCGACAAATTCCACGTATTCTTGGTAAAGACTCTAGATTCTGAACGAGATTTAAGGAAAAAAAACATCGGTTTGATTTTCTCGTTGTTTAAGGACCCGGTTTGAATAAGGCAGGTAAATTTCCAACAGCTATCACTCATAGCGATTCATTAGTACAAAAGGTCGAAGAAATTAAATCAACGATTAAATTTCAAGCCAAGAAAACCATTTGTCTAGCAGTCGCTGTTGGTAATGTCAACATGACTACTGACGAATTAGCTGCCAACATCAATTTATCAGTCAACTTTCTTGTTTCGTTATTGAAAAAGAATTGGCAAAATGTTCGCGCACTCTATGTGAAATCAACCATGGGTAAACCACAACGTCTCTATTAGAAATCTTCAATCGACGACAAGAACAGCATACAAAGAAAACAACATGTTTTTTCCGTACCATCTTTGTTTCGTTTTCTATGTATGAATTCAAAATAAGAAGAGAAATAAACGCTTGCGCATACATTTCTATTTCAACTAACTTCGAACATTATTCTGTTCGTTAGATTTATTTTAATCGTAGATAGTCTACTGACTAAATCTGTCTCTGATGAGTACCTATCGACGACATTCAGGTACTTCGAAAAGGTACGTTTTGGAATGTGTTCATTGTTTTTTAATTTCAATATTTTACTGTTGTGTACCACGATGATTAATGAATTCTATGGTTAACCGTTGTGATTTGTTCTTGTGCTTGTTTCTCAAAAATGATTTGCATTTGTAATCGATAGACTAATCGAATATTACATACGGTAACATCCGCCTAAAATATCGATTCGCTTTATTCTAGCTGTCCGGAGTTTCTCTGTAGTAAATGTCGGATTTACACAAAGTTGTCGGAAAAGATGTCCACAGCGTAGATTCGATCTTCAACACCTTTGTTTATCAATACATTGAGTCATTCGACTAAAATTTCGATATTTTTAGCGAATCGGATGGTGATGATGAACCTTACCAGATCCCACGTGCTCCTGCAGCTGCTGGTCAGTCTTCGTTCGGATCGAAACGACGAGTGACATTCAGTTCATCAAATATCATCGATACAAGCACACCGACGAAAGCACGTCGACGGCGAATCCGAACGAGTAGTCGATCGATCGATGATCGGATTTCATTTTGTGGACGAAAGACCATCTATACAGCGGGTAGGTAGTTTTGCATTCTGTCACATTTTCATCAGACGTAAGATAAATTCAGGTCGTCCGGCATGGTATGATCCATCAGGTGAAATCAAAGAAGCCTTTGTCATTGGCATTTGTGGTGGAAGCGCAAGCGGTAAAACGACTGTGGCACAAAGTATTGTGGAGAAATTAAACGTACCTTGGGTAACATTGTTGAGTATGGATTCATTTTATAAAGTAAATATCAGTTGTATTAAAATACGTCGACGATATGAGCGTTTTCCAAGGTGTTGACTGATGAACAACACAAACTAGCGGAAGATAGTAATTACGATTTCGATCATCCAGATGCTTTCGATTTTGATTTACTTCTGGAAACGTTGAAAAATTTGAAAATTGGCAAACAAGTACAATCATCCAGCACATACAATAGAAATCTCTATGCATTATGTTTTAGGTGGATATTCCATTGTACAACTTCACAACGCATTCTCGAGAACCATATACAGTAAGTTAAAGAGTATCTGTGCCCTTTCTCAACACCACTTTTTTTGCTTCGATAGAAAAAACTCTATGGTGCTAATGTGGTTCTATTCGAGGGTATACTGGCGTTCTTTAGTAAAGAAATTCGCGACGTAAGTTCAATCGTAAGAATTAGTTGCTTCTATTCTGTTTGATTAAAAGCGTTTGGATATGCGAGTATTCGTGGATACTGATGCAGATATTCGTCTGGCGCGAAGACTTGAACGGGATATTGTTGAACGCGGTAGAGCAATTGAAGGTGTAATACAACAATACACACGTTTTGTTAAACCCTCCTATGATCATTATATCGCACCAACGATGACTTACGCAGATCTTATTGTTCCAAGAGGTACGACTGATAGATTTTTCGTTTGAATTCAGACCAATGTTTCGATACTTAGGTGGCGAAAATCAAATAGCTATTGATTTAATCGTCAAGCATGTCAATCGAGAGCTTCATAATGTAAATAGAAATCTATCGTTCATTGACAATCGATTGATTTGCTTTGTAACAGCGTGGCGTTAAAGTTCGAAATCAACTTTTTCATCAGTCTGAACTAACGCATGATTCTCCCATGCCGGATACGTTTTATCTCGTCGATCAAACAGCACAACTCAAGTATCTCCATACAATTATTCGGTAAGTTAGATGGCTTCGCGTTTCACATCATTCTTGTGCTTGTAGAAACAAAGATACAGATCGTGATGAATTCATTTTCTATTCGAAACGGCTGATGCGGATTTTAATCGAATATGCCTTATCCCTCCTACCATTTGAGGTAAATCCTCTTTCAACAGTGGATGTTTCTCACTCATGAACTGCTACTTTCATTCAGGATGTAGCTGTGGAAACGCCTCAAAATTTGATATACCGTGGGAAGAAACATGTCTATTCAAATGTAAATCCGAATAAAAATTGACAGGAAGTCGTGAGAGAGATTTTTCTAGGTTTGCGGCGTATCAATCGTACGAGCGGGTGAATGTCTAGAGCCTGCTCTCAGCGAAATTTGTAAGGATGCACAAATTGGTAAAATCTTAATTCAAACGAATCAACATACAGGCGAACCGGAAGTAAAGTGAAATATTAATTCTACTCTCATTTGTTTCTCATATTGCCAATAATTAGCTTCATTATCTTCGATTACCTCGTGATATCGCTAATGCTTATGTTTTCATTCTCGATGCTACAATCGGTACTGAAATGTTTCTTGTTTGTGCTAACTTGATTATGTAAAAATCATTTTGTATTTTAGCAACTGGCGCAGCAGCGTTAATGGCCATACGAGTGTTACTAGATCACAACGTTCCCGAAGAGAAAATCGCGCTGCTTTCACTATTAGTATCTAAACAAGGTTTGTTCATTTGCAATCTCTGGATGATTATCGACTAATTGAAACCATAGGCGTGCAAACTGTTGCATATGCTTTTCCAAAAGTGAAGATCGTTACGACAGCATGCGATACTGAACTGGATCAGGAAACAGGCTTCATTCGTCCTGGTTTGGGAAATTTTGGTGATCGATATTTTGGCACAGATTTCACCGGTTATTCATCTGATACAGATGACACAACGATGAGCACATCTCAAAATCTTAGCTTTCAACCATGTACACCAGACTCGCCTCTATTCAATCCGAGAACATTTACAAATACTCACGAATAATCACAGATTTCTGAAAATGCCCGGTCATGTTTAATAATTATCTCAAGATACTTCTCACTTGTGAATGAATGATTGAATGAATTTTGAATATTGTTAGATTTTGGCATAAATTAACTAATTTTGTTTTCTTTTTCTTTTCTCTGTTATGCTAAACATGTCACTCTTAATGAATGAAAATCAATAAATAAACAACGAAGTTTTTCTCTATGTAATATGATGAATATACGTAAGGAAAACGATATATGATCTGCAAATTTCAAGCTCAAGTTGAATTTTTCTCTTGCAGATTGCTAGCAATGCAAGCTTATCATTCATTTGTTCCGAGTTATCCTCCACCGGCAATTCCAACACGCGAATCGATCATTGCTGAAGGTTTGAAAGCATTAGACCAATCCAAAACTGATCAACAATGGTTAAAATTTTGGCTCGAACGTAAAATGGAACAGAAAAAATCGACTTCAAAACTGATGACATTGTCGGAATATCGCCAAAAGTTAGGTGATCATGCTCGTCTTCTTCGACAATATAAAGATGCATTACACAATTCTAATCATGGAGTTCTATCTGAATTAAAACAACAGATCGAACAATCGAATCATTTAATTTATAACCCGGAGCTGATAAAAAGTATTCAAGTGAATATCCGTCGACGAAAATCCAAACGAGCACGCCTTCGTCGTCGAAAAGAAGATCAAGTTGCAACTGATACAATCGAAACATTCCCAACCAATGAAAAATCCCTCGAACAGAAAATCCAAGACATTGAACTACTTCTTCAAACTATCGCAAAAGTGAAACAATCCAATCGTGACGAAGACATTCTCGATGAATTATCTGAACTCGGAACTCGTTGTACAACTAAATTACATGAATACCAAACTGAACTGGCGAAACAATGTCATTGCATGGACGTTGATTTATATAATTCTCTTTTCAATAATCATGATCGATCATTTTATGAATCAATGAATTCCGATGCTCACGATTTTCTCCGAGCTCATCAGAATGTAAATGATTTAGTAGAAATTCGACAAGCATGGGATCGCTATTCAACACCTCACTTTTCATCCGTCGACAATCTCATTCCATTGAAATGGTATGAACCTCAACCACCTTCTGATGCAAATTGGTCTCTATATACCAAATAATCGTCTCTTTGTTCAAGCAATGTATGTGTTCGCGCGTTTCTTTTGTATAAAGCACGGCAAATGTTTATAATGATGTGGAACCAGCTCGTGTGAAGCTGTTCTAGATAAACTTGAATAGAGATTGGAAACTGTTGTGAATGTCATGCTAACTGGAAGGATGTCAATGAAAAACATCAGCAAGCGAATCAGTTTTCTAACCAAATCGAACTTAACTTTGCTAATTCTATCAAGTATGTGTCGTATTTTCATCGTGTAGATCGTTGATAAATTGCCGTTCGCTTATGCTATGATTAAAAAGAAAACGCAATAGAAACTGAACGAATGATGGCGACGGCAACGAGTAATATATGTGTTTGTCAATTGAATTAGCAATGTTATTGAGAAAAATTCACTCATCCGTCTGTTACAAACTCCATATTGTTTCGGCTAGATAGTTATTCTTTCTTTCTC